TTTCTCCACCCAACAAAAGCGCCAACAATACCAATTAATTAATTACTCATATTCCGCCAAACACCACTTATTGAAAACTTCTTATTATTGCAAACATTTTTTCCTTTCATAATTTACAAGGAATGTATTTAATTGAGTGAACAGTTAGTCATCTGATGGTGACATCATCTTCGTGTTGGAATTTTTGGTTTAGCAAAAAAAGAGGAAAAAAACGAAGTAGAGAATGGCTGTTGAAGAAAATCAATTTTTTTACTACTTTAGTTAAGGGAATTAAATTTATGACAGCATGCAGCAGCACATATTACATTCATACATGAAAATTTATGAATTTGCAAGAAGTAAAACTGCCTGTTTGATTGTTTTTTTAATTACACTTAAGATTTCTTTCAAATTTTGATTTTGTAATTTTTGTTGTTAAATCTTTCCTTGTCTTAATTATGGACAGTATTGGAATCTGTCTCTTTAGTAGCTCATTGTAGTATAATGATATTACTAATCTCAGACATGATATGAATTACTCTTCTTCATTCCTTCTGATCATTTATTATGATCACTTGATATAATCATCATGTGACTATTGTTGACCATGATTGGTCAAGTGTCACTCTGTGGGAGGTTTGGCAATTGGTAACGTCATTATAAATCTAAGTATCAGTTAGTTCTCGATAGTTCGACGAAACTTTGAAATAGTTGAAAATGTAAAGCACTCACGCTGCTAATCTGCTTAATTGTTATTCAAATATCCATCGAATATCCTCTTTTTTCCTTTGATAAATCCGGATGAGGACATTGTATGGGATGGCAAAAGTTATGCGTCATTATTAGTACCCATTCAACAATTTTAAAATTTGAAGATTTGAGGGAGAAAGGAGAGCACACTCGGGGTATATTGCTTCCTCATTCCCATCTGATGCAAATGTTGTTGGAAGTTACCGAATTGCAATCATAAGATGGTCTCTTCGGTCACACGACCATTATCGATCCTCTCCTTCTATATTAATGTTTGTATATTTTTGTAATTGAAAGATTTTCGACAAATTTAACTGATTTCCGTTCCGTTTTCGCAACTGTTACGTCAAGTTTACCATATTTCCTCGTTTCCTTTATATTTCATTTAAATCTATACTTCCGGTTTGAACTCAAGATTGAAAGGTTCCACAACCATCTGGCTATTTGTTTGTTTTATCTTTTTTTTGTTTATCACTGCTAATTTTATTAAGTTCCATTTATGTTTAATACATCTGCAGTATATCATTTCCTTAAAAACTGCTTTAAAATAATAAGATTGTTCCTCTCGAAAAAAGTTATGAGTTGGACCGATTATCCTTTAGGAAAAGTTACAAAGCTAGAAACTTTCCTCAGAAGACAACAAAAGTTTTATATTGCTCACTTATTTTCGCATTTTAATTCAACCAACTGGCTGACTCCAAAAATATTGACTATTTTTTCCGGAATATTTTGTGTATCCGAAAGAAAGCTATAACCATCTACGAAATCCCAACTGATCAAATCACTGCTTAGTACAAAATAAATTGAACTTGAGGGAATAATAAAATAGGATAGATAATTTCTCTTTTATGAGTATAAAATATTTATTGCTAGCTAAAAATTTTACGAACTATAAAGAAAATTCATTCGAGAAATTCGAAAAGAAAAGAGACATATCGAATGTAGCAAAAATTATTGTTGTGATGTTGTAAAAAGAGATTGAATCATGTCTTTTTTTATTCATCTTTTTCCAAATTTTTCAAATGATTTGTAAATTTTCATAAATCTGCCAGAAGAAACAGAACTCGATCTTTATAGAAATAACTGGATTTACAATCGTCGTGTTGGGATGAAGGCGTAGTTAAAAATTCGAACTTGTTTGATATTCACATATATCCTGAAACTACGACTCTCTCCTATCCCTATACACCATTTCCGGGTTTTGAAATGCATCTTTCATTGTCAGTGATACCAATTTTTGCCGAGAAAACGGTTCATAGAGAGAATTGCATAATTTTTGTAATTACACATTCCTCTTTCATTTACCAATCTTCTGCTTCTGCTTTATTGTTATCGTTCCTAACTTCACAAAACGATTGTAAAATAGTATTCTTAAAAAAAAAAATTGAAATATGTCACGATGGTAAAAAAAAAGAGGAAAGATGAGAAAGTGATATGGTTTAATTGTAAAGATTATGAACTCGTGATTTCTGTGCCCTCCTTCCTTTAATAAACTTCTCGATATCAATTACCATCGAAGTTGCCCTGAAAGTATGATCATCTTTTGACTAATTTATTTATCGGCGAAGCAATATTGACATAATAGAATGACTGGCAGTTTGGAAACATAAAAGAGAAGAAATAGCCAATTGTTGCATAATAGATTTATTATCCTTTTTTTTTCTGGCCTATCTAACCTCATTACTCCCTTTGACCTTCATCTTTCATATTTTATTTCTCGCATAGATATTTTTCTTCCCTTCATTAGATCTCCAGATGGTACTTCCAGTCATTGTTTTGGAATTTGCATATCCTGCTAGTAATATTTTCGAGCTAATTTATATAGAAGATTAATGGGGGATATAAGAACACTTTTCTGGACTGTGCTGTGGCAACAAATGATAGGAAATTTTGAATTAATGAACACTCCGACTAACATTCCCGACAATTTTCAGCACTTCTGTATAGTTGGAGAGAAGAAAGATGTGAAAGATGGTGAGTCTGAGGATAAATTGAGATTATAACGAGAAAGTTTGACGAGTGAGAGTGACACTGTTCATTGGAGATACAATAGCTTTGAAGATAATAATTTGACGAAAGCACTTTCACATTCGTTTTTTTCTCAATCATTTCCTTAACTCACAGTTGTTTCGAAATTCATAGATAAATTTTTTTAGATTAGAAAAGGAAGAATTAGAACATGGCCAATTTTCTACTGTTTGATTTATTGGAGGCATTAGTAGTAGTAGAAGTTAGTTACTAAATTAAATTTAATTGTGAAAAGTAGTGTAAATGGTGTATGTTTTATAGCGAATTAAAAATTTTAACAGTGTGGCAGAGAGTGGCCCTTCCCTCCTAGTTCGTCGTCGTTTGGCAATGGCTATTGCAGAAGTGAAAAATTCTTTAGAAATAGTGGACACACACAGACACAGGCACACATACATTGCTAATTTGTCTTCTGTCCATCCCTCCCCCTCCACTATCTGTCCTCTTCCCTCCTTTCTGTCCAGTCCAGTACTCATTTATCAATATTATGCTTTATCATCAAACAAGTGGCGCTATTTCTTGAAATTCGGAATTTGAATTAACTTTTTTCGAAAATTCGCTACCCTCATATTTAATTCGTCTTCATACTTATGAAGTTTAAAATTATCTGTGTCAGTTTTATTCACGCCATTATGCATGTGTAATTTTTCTTTCTCCCTAAATATAATTTATAAAGTTCTAGAAAAAAGTGTGAAAACTTCAGGGATTTATTAGTAACTTCAGCTATTTTCTACATATTATTTCATCTTCCCCGCCTCCAGCTTTTTCCAGTAAATTTAGCAGAATACATGAGAATATTTTTGTAATTTAAGGTTTATTCTGGTTAAATTTAGCTTAATTTTATTTAATCAGAAATTCCTCACGATAACTTTTCTTCTTCGGAATTTAAGTTTCACTTTTGATTCGTTTGTGACAAATGCTGATAAGAGTGAGTAGATTTTATTTGAAAACCGGTTCTTATCACTTTTTCATCTTATCGTTTTGCTTCTCACCTCTTTTATTGCATTTCCTTTTTTTCCTTAATCTGAAAACAAAGTATACAAAAATGCAACCGGCAAGGAAATATATTTTATCTATCTGCTCAAATCTAAATTTTGATGATTGTGCTTACACAATAAAAACGCACACGTGGTTTTTATATTCGATTGAAGAAACTAATCATTTTAAAATAATTTGAAATCTGGCATCATATCAGTGTACCTGAACCAGTGGCTAATGAGATTTTGTTTAGGAAATCTCTTTTGAAGTATTTAATGAAACAAATATGACTTTACTAAATGATCGAAACCAAAAATAGTATTAACAGTCCTTTATTTCCATTTGATTACTTTTCGTTTCCAATTTCCTTTGCCGCTGAATAGTATGAATAGTATATAAATAAATAAACAGAAATGAATGAGTCTTCTGTTTCTGGAACTCAGTTCTTTCTTAGAATCGTATTTCTTCGTCGGTTTTCTTTTTACCAGTTCCTCTTATCCTCACTACATTAAGTAGATAGATGAAATGTATTATTGATGAAATGAAATTAATGTCAGCTATTTATTTACTTATTTGTTTATTTATTTGCACATGTTCAGCTATGCTCAATTGATTTCCGCAATTTATTTAGTTTTATTTGCTTCTTGATTTCAGTTTTCTTGAAAATTAAACCTTTTTTTAACCATTCTTTCCATACGCGTACACGCTACTTGCTAATTGACATTTTTATTTAAAATTCAAGTTTTTGATATCTCTCACCGGTGATTTTACTGTACTGCATTCTTTATAGAGTTCAAAAAAGATTTTGAAACAAAGAAAGAATACGAAAGCATTTCATTATGCAATTGGGAATGATTATACTAATAATTAAAATAAGAGAGAAAGAAAGCTTCCGATCAGTTTTGCTTGAGTTCGAAGGTAGTGGGAATTGGTGATAGAATAGTATTCGTTCATTGAAGTTAATCAAACTTCGCTTCAAATTGCATTTAAAAAAAATGTGAATACGCAGCGTTTTTTATAATAAATAAATTCGAAATTTTTTTCCTGGAATAAATTTGTGTCCTTCTGAATCAGCATATCAAAATTCAAAAATTTCACGCGTTTTGCTCCTCGAATTACAGCGTTGTTGAGAGCTTTAATATGTTGTACAGCACGTGAATAACATCATTTTTTCAGGATGTACCGATGATATCCTGTTGTCGTTTAGTTGATAAGCGAAATTTAACAATCATTTGTTATATATGTAATGCTAGATATAGTTTAAAACAATGTCATCGAGAAAAACGTTGATCAGTAAGCAAACGGGCCAAGATGACGAAGAAATTGATTTGATCACACTAGAAAAAAGCCTGAATTCGATCGATGCGGAAAATATGATCCGGAAAATATCCCATACATCCATATCAGACGATGCTGAAAAAAAATGCAACCTTCTGGAGACAATAACTAGGACTGTACAGGTCTGATTGAACATATACAGTTCGATGATCATTCTAGTTTTTTTTATTACTTTATTGAAATATAAAATCTACTTATTGAAAACATTTTAGACTGAATTTAAACCTTTTTCCTCACTATACTAGTGTTGAAACTTTCTATTATCTTTTTTTGATAAAGATTTTGTCTATTCTGTATTAGAAATACAACCCTGATTTATTAGAACCGGAGGCAATCGATCGGTCTGACCATTTCCTATCGTTCCGGAAAGTTAGTAATATCATTTTAAAAATACCTTGAACTTCTCCTCCTTTATTCTGTTTTCCGTTCTCTCTGATTATTTTGAAAAAAAAAACCAAAAAAAAAAGAACGAATACATCGAAAGAGCATTACATATCATTATCGGAATGGCTATTTTTTTTCATTTTTTTTCTAAATCGGTTGATTGTAAAACATCAATACACTTTCTTTTTTTGTGTTATGCAAAGATGCATTTGCTCATTTCCATATTCATTATAGATTTCATGCCAACCGCCGTTGATTCCGTTTACTGTGCAGGGTGGATCTGCGGAAGGTTGTCTGATACTGGTGGAATTGGTGCTTCATCCCGATTTACTGCATGTCTTAGCAACAGATGACATCATTTTGTCTATCAGTGGAAGGTTACAAATTTCATACCTTACCATTTTGCTCCTTCTCTCTAGGTAATATTGGTATACATGCAATTTCCTAATATCATGAATGATTCAATATTTAGGAAAATATCCGGAATGTTGTTACGAGATGTACGAAGATTACTGGAAGGTTTATTTGCCATGAATGAATCGTTTTACATGGAAATCGTAAATAAAAGTAAGTTTTGCGATTTATATATTTTCCAACCAAATAGTAATCAACACATTTCCATAACAAATTTAATACTTAAATATGTGAAACTGAGAACAACTTTCATTTGAAGTTAACGAGAAAAGTACTGATAAAAATATTCCATGAAAAGTGTAATGAAAATTATTATAGATTCGATTCCATCGAGCATAACAGAAATTCTAGCTGGCGAAGACTATCCGGAACTGCAAATCGTCATCCGAAACAACGTTTATCAAAAAACAGTGCCATGTTAGCACTTACACTCAGTAACATTATTTAGCTTCAAGTAATGTGTATAAATAAGAAATTAAAAAATTACCAGAGGAAATGAAACGAATTGAAGAGATAGTCTTTATTTCATCAATTGGCTTTATAGACGAAAAAATTTGAAAATCCGAATTTGCATATTCAATTGAATTAAATGAGTTTAAACTGATGCAATTGGGAACTAAGAGAGAAATTCTGAAAAAAGTATTCATTGACTTAGACACTACAAGGCAACCACGAAATGGTGAAATCGACGGTGTACATTACAAATTTGTCGATGTTTCAACTTTTCGGCAGTTACGTGATACCAATCAATTATTGGAACATGGTCATTATCAAGGTTTCACTATTTTCTCGAAATTTTATTTTTCATGCATTTTTATTTTCCCATGCTTGATGCATAACCTTTCCTACATATGCTATTTCCTCTGTTCTCACTCTCATCTGATACCACCTGATCCACTACATTGCACTTTTCTCTTTGTTGTCCATCTGCTATTAAATAAAGAATTAATGCTTTGCTGATTCCATCTCCTTATTATCAACAGCTAATGACTTTTTTTTGAATTAAAGTACGCTTTATGATGGATGCCTAAAGCATTCCGAGGAAAAATTATGCCATTTTCAAAAATTTCCATATTATTTCGCTCTACCATCAAATAATCAATTGCTGTTTAAAAATTGTTTTCTTGATTTAGACTCACTTATCATTATTGCTGTATCCGCTGGCACTCTTTTTATTTATTTATTACTATTTAAAATTAATATTCTTCAATCTTGTGATAGATATTTCAGAATTAGATAATTTATCACACATCAAATATATTTTGATGAATAAGTTTATCATAAGAAAATATCAAAAATTTCACACTCTTTTATTGAGCTGATATAATTAAAATTCACTTCGTTATTACTAGTTTCAATTTTGTAACTGTTTGGTCACTCTGTGGAAGCTTATTGTCAGAAAGTTTTTCTGTCCCAGGGAAAAGTAATATCTCGGATATTTTTATGCATTTCCGGAAGTGCCACTCAGAGATTATCATATGCAACTGATTAAAAATTTTATTATTCATTTAAAAATACATATAAGAAGGAAAAGGAAGATATTCATAGCAAATTCTCATTTATTTTCAGCTTGTTTTGAAAGATTTTGATGTATATTAGATGAGTTGCATCTGAAGATATAACTGCATCATAAAAGATAATTATACAATTATCCTAGTGGAAGCTGCTGCAGTTAGGGATGCGTATTAGACTGGGGAACGAGTTGGAATAAGTTAATTAAATTAGGTTAAGCCAAAATGAATTATGGGTAGTTTTAAGCAACACGTTCATCCTGAGAAATTTCCCTCGAGGAAGCAGAGGGGAAAAAGGAGAAAACTGCATATTAAATGATAAGTAGCTTGAAAATTATGGAAGTCAACTAAGCGTTGTAAACTTCTCCGATATAAGCGATGAATGACTCAACACTTCACATCGATCTTATTGTCAATTTTGGACATTTTCAAGACTAATTCTTTCGCACATACAACAAGTCGGATGACATGCTTATTTCGCGAAGTAAATGAATTTCATTTTTATATTCATAATATTAAATTAAATATATTGGGGAAATTTTCAAACTTAATGAGCATTCAATACCGCTCATTTCTCATCAATAATGCATCAGAACGGTAGGCCATAGCTAAGCATCAGTTTCCCGAAAGAACTTCCTTCATGTCATCCCTCTTTTCATCCATCTCAAGGTTAGTTTATTTATGGAAATTTTTCCAAATAATATGAACATACATTTAAAAAGAGGCAATGTATAGGCAGTTCTCGAGTAACAGAGAATAAGAATGAATGAGAAAATTCGTCTAACCTGTGAATTCATAAAAATGATAATTAAATGCTTTCATAAACTTCCTTGTTCTATTTGTTGACTGTACGGAATGAATATGCTTGATCGATCCTTTCTTCAGGTAAAGGTCCCTGATCATTCATTACAAGCAATGAAGCATAAATAGCCTTATCCTTCATTGCTTATAATAAAATTTTTCATTTTTGTACAATTTTGAGCATGAAGAAAGTGAAGATTTCTACTCTTTGAACCATTTATTGACAAATTACTTCAAAACTTGGCACAACAAATACGCTCGGAACAAAAAGCACCGCCATGATTGATAGAAAGATTCGATGAATCGTTCTTAAGATTTAAAGCGACTTCGAAAGTTCTACACGGATGTGAAGAAGTTAAAATATGGAGACGGCAATACAAAGCTTAGCAATGTGAGAATGTGTTTGTCGAAAATGCATTCATCGGCATATCTCTTTGAAGTTTTTCAATATGTTTGGGATATTCTTTTATAATAATTGAATATCCAAAACAAACCTAAAATGATAAAAATGGATCAACACGCAACATTTGGCGACAAAAATGCCATACGATTATACTTTCCTTTTTCACCATCAAATATCCATAATATATGTATGGCAAGCCTAATTGTTTGGGTCTGATTGAACACACATCAACGATCTTTAGTCAGTACTAGAGATCCACTTAGCCAGGCAATTTCAACTTTCAATAATGACAAGTCTGTCTGTGTCACTGGAATTCGATTGTCATACTTTACCATGGAATTGTCCATAGAAGTTTTGAGGAGTATGATGAAGTAGAATACTCTATATATGAGCTACTTTCTGCACACTCCGAACTTTCCATTTCGTGTTCCATATGAGGCACATTCGGGAAGTGTCTCTGAGGTTACCAATATCCCTCTTATAACTTTAATGAGCACATTCTTTAATAGGTGGAAATCATTTACATCGGTCGAAATTTAGTAATTACGATGATCGATCTTAGTTGGTACGCATCAGCTGCGACGGTATGATGCATTGCCGTTGTTGTAATTTTTCTTTTTTGCTGCGGTAAAAGTTGCTGTACCGTGCGATTTATTTATTCATTTTCTTTCACATTGCAATCGTTTTAGTTAGATCACTTCGATGGATGACGGTTCTTCTCGAGAGTCTCTTCCTAAGGTACAAATCTATTTAGTTTCCGTATCTCTATGTATCTATCTGTGTATGTGTGCGTATGTCTCTGATGTTCGAGTAATGTCACCGTGCTTAAATGTTTATACAGGTACCTATGGCACCTTGTTTCGCTCTATGCACATATGTGTAGGTGCGTGCATGTGTGTATGTCATGTTGCTTCGTGTACATACACCTTGTGTAGTTGTGTATGTATGTGTATGTGTGTATGTGTATGTGTTTATTGTCTCCGGTGAGACGACTATAACAGGTGAAGGTGATGGACGATTGACCTTCGCGTTGCCGTCATGTGTGTTGTTGACAATAGCCTAAATGGAACTAACTCTTCATCCATTTACCTGTTTTAATCGTTTGTTGAAAGTTGCTTATCAATGTTACTCTAAACTTACGACACATTTTTTCTTCCCCTCTCCATCAATGTACGATAATATCTATTGATTGATTGATTTTTTTATGCATCGTTGTTGAGATGCTTTACCGTTCTGTGTTGTACCGAACATCGTCACTTCCTCCTGCGATTCTCGTCGAAATGGGAAAATTTCCAAGAAAGGGAAGAAAAAAAGTTTGAATGAGATGACATTTCTGTGAGATGTTCGCACTGCGACATTCTGTCTGATTACTCAGATTGTAATTCTTATCTTTCTCAATGCACCGAATTTCTATTTTGGTCCCCGAAAATCATCATTTCTGTGTTTAATACTGTCTGCTGAATTTCCCGGTTGTTTCATACGGCAGCCAAGAAGTTGTGGTAAGAATTTGCTAGAAAAGAAAAATTCATTTTACGCAAGAAGAATGGAAAAGTATTTACTCTATCATTCATGTCACATATCAAGCGTTAACCAAAGAAAGGAACATTTATTTTTTTAAGAGCATTGGTTCGAATGTTTTGGCCATGCAATCATCAATAAAGAGATGAAAAAATGGAAAATAGTAAGCAATGAATGATAAACAAATAAGTACTCAAAAATTTGAATGCATAAAATAGAGATATTTTAGCCAGAAATTCGAAATCCGATTAACGGTTTGTGCCAATATTTCTCGCAAAAATTTCTCTCGGGATTTCGCCTGTTTTTTTTTCATATAATATTTCTAGAAGAAAATATGGAATCTATTTTTTCAATTTATTTCAAATATTCATTCACTTCATGTCATTGCTTAGCCTATTGGCTTATTGAAATATCCTTAAGTGTTGGTGAATAAAATTATTTTTTGGCTGAAAGTATGGATGCAAATTTTGTAAAAATGATTTTAAAATTAAAATATAAATTTGAAATAGTTAGCAGTACACTTTGGGAAAATATTGGTTATGTTCTGACTATTACTAAGGCAATTACACACAAACTATTGCAAATTTTTCCATTACCGCTTTATTTGTTTAATTTATGTTTGCTAGAAAATTTTGTTTTCTGAAATTTATTTTAATTCCATCAGACTGTCATCACATTTTCATTAAAATGCTGAAGCAACGACCAACTGAACACTTTCATTACGCAATATAGTTTCATTGGGCACATCAATCTGCTTAACTTTTCGATACGCTTCTTTGTCAAAAAGTTTTGAAATTTTTATTTCCTTTTCATAACATATTTCTTTTTCCTTTTCATGAAATTATCATTTTCTTTTGTTAGCAAAAACCCAGAAATTCACTGTTGAATTATATGCATTTCTTGTCGGGCAATTGGATCAGTTGCGTCTATAATTTGAGTTCATTAACCAATTTCTCATTTAAAAAAAAATATTTGAAATTCTTTCTTTTAACGACTCCGAAACTTTATTACCAGAATAATTTTTGCTAATTAATCCACTGTATCAGATAAATGCTTCGATGCAATAATATCAAAGTTGTCGAGAATTCTCGAGTAAATATTTTTTAATCCAAACTTTGTTTTAACTTCTCTTCACTTCTAATTTCCAAAAACTTTGCGACTTATTGTAATCAATCAGCTGTAATGCATTGATGATATATAAATTTTTAATGTAACTGTAGGTTATTTCTCGAGATTCAAAATCGCTGCAAATGATTAATTATTTCAAGAGTCGCGATAATAATTTCTTCAAATATATTTTTGCACAGATAACGAGAGTAGCATGCATTCTCTTACATTATTCCGCTGTCTGCTGTACAAACCTACATGTGCTTTTTTTCTCTTTTAATAATCAAATGATCGGTATACTATCTAAAAATAATTTGATAAATGATAGGAAAGGAATAGTATTGCATATTGACGGAAAAAAATGCACACATGTTTTTATTACCAAAATTCTGTACCCGCAAAATGAGGTGATGAAATAAATTTCATGCAAGTTAAGTTTAAATTTTAATTAGAACTAGAAAATGTAATTAACACACATGGGTGATCACACTTCATCTATAAATATCTCTAGGATATTCCGGAAACTTAGAAGTGTGATTTCGCATTGTTGCGAACTTATTCAGCAAAGTGTATTGCAGAAAACAATCAAGTTACTGGCATCCTAAATCGTCTCCTAAAGTTAAGCCTCGATTATTTTTGACTATTCATGCCTATTATCATATCATTTCCAAAATTACCAGATATCGGTGTATTTATTAAACAATGAACCTGTATTTTTTCTTCCTTTATGAAATCAAATTAGTTAATTATGGGAAGAATTGACTTTTTCTCTATCTAATCTTGATATATTTACATAATAAATAGTAAATTATCAATCACATTATCACTTGCAATGCCTTATTCTGTTAAAAATGTTCTAATATTTATAATATGTGAAGTTTAAGAAGGACATAAGCGGCATTTATTTGTGTGTCGCTGTGGTGTAGAATGTTTGATTTTATCATATCCTTCTTTCTTCGGCCTCGAACCACCCCTCTATTATAACTTTCGTCCTCACCTGTTTATTTCATTTGGAAAACGATACATATTCATGTGATGGCGACGTTCCATGTTGATATACGCAGCATACATCCGTACATTCATAATATTTTCATTACTCATAGCAAATGATGTTCCTTATTGATAAGCAATATTTGTCACTACCAAGTTGATATGCATCGCTTCTGATAACAATATTCTTATCACTTTTAACGCTTCAACAAACCTTCCATTACTATCTCTTATCAGCTTCGCTTGGTTAACTTCCAGTGATTTCCCATAGAATTTCTCTCAAACAGTTGCAGTAATTTAGTGTAGAAAAATTTTTTTCATTTTTAATTTATTACGTTTTCCTCTAAATATTCATCTCATTGCATATCGTTTCTTTCCAAATTTCATAAATTCTGCTACTTTTTTAATTCGATATTTTGTAGATCTCTCCATTTCTTCAGCAATTTTAAATGAAAAAACATTTTTGGACGTTTTTAAGATTTTTGAAATAATGTGGAATGCAAGGATACGTAGCTTAACGGATAGTATAATTTGACTTACATAGTACTTAATTGTTTTCATCAATCATTTACTTTCTGTTATTCATAATTAATCGACACTACGAAAAGTTTTATTGTTGGATAGGAGGAATGAATTATTGATGAGTTTAGCAGTATATACATTTCAAATGAGGAGGAAAAAAAGGAAGAAGTTATGATTAAAAACTGTGGCATCATATTGAGACTCATTTTTCTTTTTTGTCCTTTTTTTTCCTATGATATAATTAAAATTAAAAACGAGAAATGTATTTCTTTTAACTACTTTATTAAGTGGTAAATCTGTTTAGAAAATGAAATCTCATTTAGATTCCCTTTTCTCTTTATTTCTATTTCTTGCTAATTTCAGGATTCAATCTTCCCTTCCAACCCAATAATTTGTTTCGAGCTGTTTTTTTTGCTTTTTAATTCCCGCTTCTTTCAATAGCAATACAATGATGTTGCTCACATTTCTTCCAGAAATGTCCGTTGTCTTGCTTTTCCTCATCCATCCATTCATCTGTCTGTTCTAACCATTGAATTTATGACTATTGAAGTGCATAACGACTTTCAATTTTTTTGTTACTTAAATTAGATTTCAAATTATATTTTCATTTTCTCAACTTTATATATTTTCTTCAGGTGAATTTGCGCGAAACTTCTCTTCCTGATTTTATTCTGCCGTGTTATTTTCCTTCTCCCCAATCAATTCTCTTCCCTACTTTTTGCGGCAAATGTTGGTCTCTTTCTCATTTGCCCACAAAATAATTCCATTGGTATCTTTCAGGATTGAAACAGTGGGACTTGTTTTGGGGACAAATGTTTTCGGTATTCAGTACAACTTTTTTTTCAATTTTTGAATTATTTTAATTAAAATTTTTGCCCTTATAGGACATTATTATGGAACACCAAAACCAGTGGAGGATGACGAAATGGTAAACGATCCAAAGGGACCATTACCTCCCAATTGGGAGATTGCTTACTCTGATCAAGGTGAAAAATACTTTGTCGAGTAAGTTACCGGTTATAATTTTCGAAATTTAAACTAATAGATAAAACATATTAATATTCTACAATTCCGTTATATCTAAGCTGAGATGACCTTTTATTGATTTTGCTAATTTAGCAATTTCCGAGGAATTCTTTTAAAGATTTGTATAAAATTGATTTATTACTTTTTTTAAAATTAAAATTACAGTATGATATTCCAAGACCGAGTTTTTACTTATCCTTTAGTCATAACACTGGCACAACGCAATGGGAAGATCCACGGGATTTACCTGATGGTTGGGAAAAAGTGGACGATGGCATTTATGGGACATTTTATGTCGAGTAAGTGTTTAATAGATTAAATTACCTATCCTGTTGGCATCAGTCTATTGAGGAAAACTTGGATATTGTGTATCAAATAATCAGAGTTAATAGCTTAAAATTATAGTTGATTGAAAAGGATGATAAAAATGGAGAAGGCATCAATTGTACATCAGTTATTCTGCCCCGATGTAAAATTTCAACACTATTTGTTGAGTTCATTAAAATTTATCCATACTTCATTTCAAAATTGGGGCAACTTCACTGGTATCCGGGTTTGAGGTAGGATTTCAAATTAATTGCGCAAAATTTCGTCGGCAACAAGGTTTTGATATTAGAAATCAGCAAATTGACTGAAAACTAAACTTCCGGCTAATTGATTTAAAGTTTAATATTGCGACGAAATCTATTAATCTCTTAATAATCGCTAACTAATATTCGCTGTTTTACAAAGAATAAAATTCTTCTCAACACACAAATTTTGTGATGCTATTTTTGTTTCATAATATGAATTGTTGTTGGCAAATCTCAGATCGGATCGCACTCTTCAATTTTATGATCTATCTCTCGATGGTACAAAGCATTATCCTCATTCTGCATTACTTTCCTTTCCTTTTTACTTTACTTTCTTATCATATATCATTTATTATGGAGGTGAAGGAAAGAGAAAAAATGTTAATTTAACACCTTAAATTTATTCTATCGCTGATATTATCACTCATACGGTATTTACATGTTTTTCATACAATTAGTTTACTTTTGAAATTTGCCTTTCTTTCTATCCTCCGTATTTTATTGATTCAAAAAAAATGCTTTTGGTGCCAAGCATGCATACCCAATGCTTTATCTTTTATGCTCCGGGCTATTATTTACATTGCTGCGAGAATGGTTTTAGCCAAGCAAACAAAAAGGAAAAATGAATTCATATTTTATGCAAGTCTTTTTTTTAAAATTCTTTTTTCCTTCTCTCTCTTCCTTTTTTTTAATGGCAACTATTGCTTCTGATATTTTATGCTCTAAAAAAGTACATTCATTCAAGCAAAATGCGAAAATTTATGAATTCTTACAGCAAACAACAGATGTATTTAGTCCGACCAGAAATACTGTCACACATTTGTGAATTATATGGCCAAGTTGTTTGACCTGCATGTGATGCATCTCTAATATTTATAGTATTATTTCTATTTAAGTGCTCATTGTTAATCCATAAATTCTGTTTTTTCTTTCTTTTTTTGTTCTAACCAAATTCTGTATTTGTCGGAAGAGAAATCGGACATTCCAGAATGTTTATCTATTAGTAATTGAATACGAAATACGTGAAATTATATCGCACTCCATCAAACGATACTTATTCGCATTGCTGTCGGCATTACAAAAAATCCATAAAAATTGGTGATTAAATGAATAATTTCATTACGAATTATTGCCATAAATATGAAATTTATGGGATACATCGCTTATTTCATAGGCAATACATTAATATTTGCAACTTTCTAGTCACGTGAACAGACGTACCCAATATGAACGTCCGTCCAGTTCATCACTACAAAAGGTTACCGATGTGATAGTACCGTCACATTCCTATGCATATGCTAATAATCATGATGCAAGCAGTAGTACGAAGACCCTTCTAACTAATAATGGTACAGGATCAAGAAGGCACTCAACTCTTTACAGCAATCATTCATCACCATCTCATACTGCTGGATCTGTTTACAGTTTCACAAGGTATCATATTGAATTCGATAAAATTTAATCGTCAAATGACATGAAATTGAACTAAATTGAATTTATATCTAAATATATGATAATTTATTGTCAAAATAATTCTAACGGATAGAGGGATATTACACGCAAATAAATGTTCATTGTTTTCGCAGAGATCCATCTCAACTTCGTGGTGAACTTATAACAACACGTATTGTCAAAGGACCAAAAGGACTTGGCTTTACATTAATCGGCAATGATGGCAGTTCATTGCAGGATGAATTCTTGCAGGTTTGTAGCTTCGCTAATTTCTAAATTATTACCCATCTTTTCCACCAACTTCTAAATTCAAAAAACTTCAGTTTCCCAATTTCAAACTTAGTATGTGTAATTTTTACTTAAAAAAATGAGGATATATTTCTTCTTTCTTCATCATTTCTTTATTTTCAGATTAAAAATGTGATTGTTGGCGGACCCGCTCATCGAGACGGCGTTTTGCAAATGGGTGACGTCCTCGTATACGTTAATAACGAATGCGTCCTGGGCGCATCGCAATCCCACGCCTGTCATATATTTCAGTCAATTGGTGTCGGTGAACTTGTAACATTACAGATTTGTCGCGGTTATCCACTACTTTTCGATCCCACAAATAAGGTTTTTTTCCCTTCCTCTCTCTCATTTTTGCTTTCTCTTTGTATAAATTTATTTACTGTTAAGAAATTCGTGGTTCAAAAAATTTTTCATCACAAATTTATGAATTAACCCTCCGCCTTTTCTTCAGATTGTTACTGAGAATGCGTATGTTACACGATCAGACGATGTGAAAGAAATTATTATCAATAAGGTTTCTCATTTTGTTCTGTTCATTAATCAAATTTTCATTGCATATGAGTCCAAAAAATAAATAAATAAATGAAGATTTTCAGAATATATTTTCTTATATTCTCAAAGTTCCATATTTTAGGGTAGTGATGGTTTCGGATTCACGATTTTCGAAAGTATACAGGGGCAGCGAGTAAAAAAAATCTTATATCCGGAAAGGTGTGAGAATTTATTGGAAGGTGATACCCTTTTGGAGATGCGAACTACATATCCCCACGGAAATCCGAATTGCCCAGTGGGTGAGGAGCGTATTACTAATTTCCGAGGGATGCCACATCATGAATTGGTTTCCGTCCTGAGGGAATGTCCTGTTGGATTCTGGGCCAAATTGATTGTAAGGAGGAATTCACCGAAGCACAGGTAGAAATTTTTTTCTTGCTAATTACTGAATTGTTGTAATAAAAAAATAAACCTTGCTAAAAAAAACTTTAGATTGCACTCGATGGCTGATATTTATCTATTGTTTTTATAGAATGGCTAATTTTATATGCACGAATAGAATCAGATAAGATTTTCAGAGTCAGTCTGGACAATTTTTGAGGGCTTACTCAAATGTGCTCAACTTTTTAAGGGCTACTAATTTCAACCATTTTCTTAATTTTTTAATTCCTTTCGTTCAGTATTCTTAATGCATTCTTGTACATTTTCAGATCTCGCACTCCGTCAGCAGCATTTCGCTACGGTGAACAGAGGCCTAGCCCAGCACCAACATTGATGCCAAGGTCCAAAACCCCAGCACCACATCCTCCGCGACCAACTAAAGCTTACCTTCATCCTTCTGCATTGCTGCCTGCAACTAGTCAGGGCGTGGTCGTATCAAACGGTGGAATAACCAGTGCCCATGCGTCTGGAAATACGATTCCAAGGGTAATTGCTACATAATTTTGCACATAACCTATCATCATTATGTTTACAATTAATATATCTCCACACATTTGTGCATAAATAGGTGAGTTGTTTACCTAAGTTCCATACTTGTTGATGCGCTTTATGAAAGGAAGTCAAAGCTTTGAACATTTTAGCAATATGAGCGGCGTCCAAATGAGGATATTTATGAGAATTTCTCGAATTTGCGGCCTTCATCGACAAGTTTGGGATTCTCAACGCCTAATTATATGCCAATGACTGCAATCGCTACTTCGAGTGTTGAAATAGTAACAGTTAATCTAATCAGGAAACCAAATGGATTTGGTTTTCGAGTCGTCGGTGGAACTGAAGTAAAATTTTCAAATTATTCAAAAGCTTTAACTGCTAGATATCTTGAAAACTCCTTCAATAAAATATATTGCCGTTAATTCTGCAGGAAGGGACAAACATTACAGTCGGTCAGGTGGTACCTGGAGGTGCTGCAGCGGACGATGGTCGTTTACATCAAGGAGATGAAATTATTGAAATTGGTGGTAAGAATGTTGAAGGCGAAAGTCATGCAATGGCTGTGCAATTGATGCAAAAAGCAGCTGCCATTGGACACGTCAAATTAGTTGTTCGTCGTCCTAAAACTGGAGGTAAACGTTTCCTGGTCACTTCCTCTTCTTCCACACAGACATATCTACATTACATGTGCTTCTTACATGTATGACAGAAATCTCGGTTTTTCAGATTTGTCACGTTCAACATCTGCTCCAGTTAATCAGTTGAATGCGACCTCTGCTACCTATGATGTTATACTGAATCGAAATGATGGTGATAGTTTCGGTTTTGTTATCATATCTTCCATCAATAACAACGGAAGTACTATCGGTTAGTTTAGTTTTGTTTATGAAATATCTTTTTCTTTTTTGATCAATGAGAACGATACAAAAGTAATAATGAAAAAGAGCTACAATGAACTTAATTTGTATAATTTACAATGTGTGCCCTATTGATGCATTTCATATTAGCTCATAGAAAGAAATAAAGTAAAGAAATATTAATTTGATCGAGTTAAAAAATTGAAAATGTAAAATATTTACACTAGGAATTTTGCATTGTCGGCATTAATTGTCATAAAATTATAGGAAGAATAGTGGAGGGGTCACCAGCAGCTCTTTGTGGTCAGTTGCAAGTGGGCGATCGAGTAGTAGCCGTTAATGGTATTGACATTATCAAGTTACCCCACAATGATATTGTTACGCTAATTAAAAAGTCTGGTTTATCAGTAAGGCTGACAATATCGCCTTCTTCATCATCAGGCTTTCTCTTAGGTATGAGTTGTTATCATACTAGCATTTTTGTTATTTAAGGATTGACGGCTTAAGTCTCTTTCAAAGGTTAAAAACTAAAAATTTGGATAGTCTGCTTTGAGCCTTTAAGAAACCTTACCCATCACTCATTTTCTGCCCTGTGAAATTCAGACCTGAATTGCTCTATATGTGTATTGAATATGATCTTTGAAGTGATTGTTTATGCTTTCTGAAATTCTGTTTTTCTTAGAGATAAGTTCTGAGAATGGAGATCATTTGTTGCTTTCATTCCAATTTTTTGGGTAAAAGCTTTCTGTGTTCATTTTATTGCTTTTATTCTTAAGGTTCTTCAACATCCTATTATTCAACCTCACATATTGGACCGACTACTGCTTATGGACGTCCTTCCCATCCTTCTTATTACACAAATCAATTTGGTCCATCTCATAGTCAATCATTTGATGTTCCTCAGTACAGATACCCGGCCGGAAATGGTTACATCACCAGAACATCACCGATACCTCCAGAAGCGGTTCGTTTTCTTTTTTCTTTATTTTTGTTAATTTAAGATCGAATTTGGAGTAATACAGCTGTTTCTTTTGCAGTGCATTGTTTCTTATTTTGCTTTAACATTAAACCATCTGATTTTGCTTTGTATGAATTTTTTTGCCGAACTTATCGTACATTAATAGTTATTACCTTTATGTCAGTGATTTTTGACATCTTATCGATTGCTTATTTTTCTCCACCATTAAGTTGGCTCTTTGCAGCCTGAGAATTGAAACTCATAGTTTTTATTTCTGAAAATATGTAATAAGAACTAAATGATGGATTTAAAGGGTGCATTGTAACTATGAAAAAGTGAAATAATAGATCAACGTAGCCATATCATTATTGCCACTGGCATCATTTGCGAATTTCTTCGTAGATTTGCAAAAAATTATAAAGATATCAATTGGTCGACTATTTCACTTAGCTTTGTCATAATAGGCATCAGGTAACTTTTTATATCCAAGCAACTGCTGTGTTACATTTCTCCTCACGTACATTTTTTACCTACATTTCCGTTCGTGCAATATATAATGTTAAAATTTTCCTTCAGATAAACAAGCTATAAGAGTGTTGGAAAATTAACGTAAGGGACTTGATAGAATATTTTATGTTACTTTGCTCGCATATGTGTTTATATCCGAAATAGTTGTCTGTATCTGTGTGAATGGCAGCAGCAGCTGTCGTTATAATTTGCATGTTAAGTTACTCGCTGGATTATTTCTTGCTTGTTTTATAAAAACAAAAAGAAAAGGAAAAATTCTAACAATTGTTTGGTTGTTGTAGCAGTCGAGTTGTGAGTCATTACTTCAAGATCTGTGGAATATATCATGCATTGATCGCTATTCCGAATTTAGCGATTACGACATCATAACCATCTCATCATCGTCCACTGCAATATCATCCGTTTCCCTACGGTTGGTGTATGTGATTGTGTTCCTTGTGCTTTCGTGCTGCATGCACTATTCTTGCAACTTAACGCATTGTATGCATTCGGTGTGCTTCTACATTCTTCCTATAACTGTAATGCATTGCATAGATAAAAAATATATAATGTTAGGATTCCCGATATCATAGCTGTAGAAAATTCGGTGAAAAACTACCACAATAAACACAATCAAACTGTATCTTGCACTCTTACAAGAAGCATTATTAGTATTCCGCAATGTTTCTGAAGAAATAAAAGGCTCAGTATACTGAATCCTGAGCCGGTAGAGATTCAGAAACAGTTTAAAATGTCTTGTTTCAATGATGAAGTAGTCAATATTATCCATCAAATAAATCGATATACAAACCTGAGCAGATTGATTTTTATGAAGAATTATTAATATTTTCCTGTCATTATTCTTATTGAAATCTAACTTGGATTCTTCTCCAAGACTGTTTCCTTCTGCACTCTTTTTTCTCAACTGGAACTTGACTTCCTTTCCATTTCCATGAAGCTTTTCATTTATTACTTACTCATTTATTAATTTAAACTGTCGTTATTGTTGCTTAAAACAAATTTTTTTTCAAAAAATCAGTTTAGTATTGGTACGAATAAGAATACTTTATTTGTCAAGCTTTATCAAGCTTATTTTTATCTACTAAACTTACTCAGAAAACTCAGCATGAATATCTCAGTACTCAGTGTGATGTAGTGAGATGTTGACAAGTTGACAACAGTCAGACAGTGTCAGAACAAAGTGATACAATGTCCGATATAAGACTGTAAGGTATCTAGACTCAAAGGTCGTGAGGATTACAGTTGTTTACAATTAACGGATAGATTGAATACAAGTAACCTACTAGTACCATAAAACTTTTTCTCGATGGCATTAAACACGGTTGTGTAGAGATACTGACGTCAAGCATTGGCATCAAGTGTACGCTTTGTAAGAGGATTTAGGACTTTGCACATAGACTAGGCTTCAAAGATGAATCCACCTGCTATTGGAACAAATTGTCTCATATTTGCATTAATGGTTTTCATTTAGTATTACTTCTTTTTAAAGAAATTCCAAGTTTTTATTTCAGGAACAAACACTTATAAATGTGGAATTGAATCGTGGACCGAAAGGTTTCGGTTTTTCAATTCGTGGTGGACAGGAATTTGACTCGATGCCATTGTTCGTTTTGCGAATTGCGGAAGATGGACCAGCAGCTTTAGATGGCCGTTTAAAAGTTGGCGATCAACTGATGGAAATTAATGGACAATCGACACGTGGTATGACGCACAGCAGTGCAATCCAAATCATCAAACAATATCCTATTGTTAGATTATTGGTTAGAAGACCGCACGGTTTCTAACTTTTTCGCGAATTGTTTTATTTGTTGCTATATTGATATTTGAGTAGCTCATATCATTTACGTTTTTTCACAATATGTGTGTTGTTTATGACGTTTGGAATTGTTGAAATCCCACTTATTTGGTGTTTTAGATAGGGCCAAGTAATGGCTTGTTTTCTTATTACGTAATGATTGGATGTTAGGCTGATAAAGTTTATAAGTATTTTATCCATATTGAGGATTTTGTTGCTATTATTGTTTTGCCTATTCGTATCAGTTTTTTAGTAATAGTTTAAGCGTTCTGTAATTTAAGAACGAAAAAAAAATTCCGTTTTATAGTATTTATATTCTGTGTTCGTGTCCTGCCTTTTGCTGTACGCATTTTTTCCTTGTCAAATTTGTTTTAAGTTGAAATTTTTCCATTTCAGTAATTGCTTCAGTCACATTTAGCTATTGCTTTAAAAAGGTTTCATTTCATAAAAATGAAATGGAATTTTTCATTCATATATTTTCTTCGTTTTCAGATCTCATCTTGTACATTTCGAAAGTTGCAGTTTCGAATATTTTGAAATCGAAATTATCCTTTTGAAATTAAACCAGAACTGAAAATGATACTTTGATTTCTTGCGGGATTTTTATCCCTGTTCATAGGAGGATTTCGAGAATATTGTAAGAGAAGTTTCCGATAGTAAAATGTTGAAATTTATGTCGGTTTTATTCGTTTTTTCTTCACAATTTTACGTACAATTGTAATAATGCGATCGGTAAATTTGAAAGTAGACAGTACTGTGACATTTACTTTGAGAAGAGGTGCAAATTCATTTAAGATGAGAAAATAAGTATATATCTTTTGAAAATACAAGCACATATCGACGCTATGTCTATCATCTATCATAGAATGCTTCTGATTGATACTTTAGCAAAATTTATAGGTTTCTGGGTAAGGAGTGCAATTTTCCAAATACAATGAAAATCCATCAATAAGGCTAATTTGATAGCGTCAGCCCTAATGCGTATTGATAGGACGAATGGTCCAAAACACTTCATCGTAAATTGTTCGTCAAATGCTTAGCTTGATTAACTCATTTATTCCGGCTGATATGCATCTCTCATTTTGTTCTACTCTAATGCATCCTTGAGATTTGCTTGATGCAATTATATATTAAATTAGAAATGCCGGGAACGATTTCCGAACGATTGTGATCCAGTTAATTTGTATGCATATCAAATTATCTAAAAGTTGTTTCCAGCATTCAACTCCACGCAGTCTAGCTTCAGTTCTGTTTACCGTTTAGATTTCACTCGCAATTCAAATACACAGTTCTTGCTTCTTTTTCTTTCAAAGGTAACAGAATCCTCTTCATTATTGCTACACGACGATATCAGTTTTCCTGAAGTGCATACATATGTATATGCAGACAATTGTTCATTTTCCTTCGACTTTGGAAAATAATTTGTTAGTTTACTCGATTTCATTTCTTCAGTTCATCGTTTGAAGGTTCTGAATTTCGAAGAAATGTGGCAGAAAAATAATTGGTTACCGCCAATAAACGATTTCAATTCACAAAAGGTATGACGCATCATAGTCGGCGACGAGAGTTGTCTTGGAAACGGATTTTAGCCTCTAAGAGATGACTGAAAATCCCGATTGTAAGAGGAAAAAAGAAATCAGTTATTTTGTTACTGCACATCATGCATGTCATTATTTGATTTAATTAAGATTTAATAGTTCCATTAAATTAGAGAAATAAAAATAAAATGAATGTATCGAAGACTTAATCACATACAATAATAATCTCCACTTAGTAAGAAAATTTCTAATCGTTTCTTTGTTGAAACAGGTTACTGTCATCCGGAATCTGAATTTCGAATATTCAGTAGTGAAAGTCTTTTGCCAGGATGTTTGGTGAGAAATTTTTGCTATCATAATGCTATATGTATAATGATTAAGTCTTCGTATTTTTATTTCAGCATTGAGCATCTTCTGAAAATTCGCTTATATTTCAGTATACTATATGCTTGCTCAAATTTATACCTCTAAACAGGATTATGATAACTTTTAATAATTTTTTTTCACTGTCCGAATGCATTATCAAACTTCTAAAATGTCACTTTCATTTGGAGGTGCAAAAGATTTCCTTCTAATAAAGTGCATCATTCAAATAATCTCTTTATTCTCATACACTGTCCACATTCTGCTGGTTCGCATTTCTGTGTCCATCAACTGCAGTGGTGAAATTTAGAAGTAACGAAATCTCTAATGATTCGTGAAATGCTTCTTTTTAATGTAAAATATGCAATGAGATTTCATTTGAGTCATTCTGATTATTCGATGCCTTCCGTCCATTTAATGATGATGATGGGTTAGATCAAATAAATTATGAATTGAAATTGAGATGATACAATTGCAACCGCTACAATTTGGATGTTAGAAGCGGTGTTCCGCCTTCGCATTCCTGTTTTCCTGTCTAATAATCGATGCTTAATAGCAGTAGTAGTAGTAGTAATAATAGAAAAGTGGAATATAACAAGAGGCTGAACCTTTCCTTTGGTCAAGCATCATTTCGGTTCAATTCCGCTTGGTCTCGACCACTGACACGCCCAAAAGTGAATTCTCTCCATCTCACTCTTTCATTCCCTCCCCTTCCAACATTCATTATTTTATTGTTCCGTTTGGTGCTCTGTTAGACTCGGTCACTTATTTTACTGATTAATTATATGTCAAATTTTACTCAACTGAAATCACTTTACTCGTCCGTGCTCTATGCAACATTAATGATTCGCTAAAGTTCAATATACTAATGTAAAATTTTATGAAAATTGAACTTAGATCACTTCAGGTATGAAGAATTGCTGTCACTTACAGCTTAAAATAACATTGACAATTTATTTAATTGCATTATTAATAGTTGCTACCACATTTCACCTTAACCCGCCAGTACTTGATAGTTGCACCGCTGACTGCTTGATACCAGCCGAAAATAGTACTATATGGTTACCATATAGTTATCCACCATGTATTCATCCTGGTCAACCAGTACTACGTTTGTCTTTTACAACAGTCTGTAAGAGACCAAATTTTCTGACATCACGAAGTGTTTCTCTAGATTCGTCATCTGGTGTGCTATTTGCTGAGGAACGCGTGTGCTTCTACGTAGAACGGTGGCACGTGGCATATTCATATGTTTGTTCTGGTAATAGCGTACCGCAGCAAGGCATTGTTTTTCTGGATCACAAGAAGTACGCCACAAAAAGGCGATCAAAAAGATGGATGCGAAGGAGAAATCCAACGGTACCACGGATACACTTCCAACAAGAACGATACATTACTGAAATTCCGGAAGATACACCAATCAATTCACTGATTATTCAATTACACGCCACTCATATTACTAATGAATCAATGTATTATGCTATGGTAGCACCTGAAGATTCTCGTTCATCTAATATTTTTACCTTAGATACCGTTTCCGGAGACATACGGTATGTGTTGTCATTCTTCATTTAATGATAGTCTTTTTCTTGAATTTTTAGTATGGAATAATAACACTTTTAAATGATTAAAATCCTTACAAATGTGAAATGAAAAGGGGCGTATTCATCGTCGAGATTGGCAACGCAAACATTTGAGATTCCCTAAGTCATTTTATACGAGTATTTTTTGTGCAACAATTTTCTCTTATTCAAGTATTCATATTATATAATTCTTATCTTCTTTTGAAAAATGAACACTTTTTGAATTTATTTTGATGAGACAGAAGCTTCCAACCAGAAGTACCAAAGATATTCGATTTCAGAAATTTTTATAAATAATTAATTTTTTTATGAAGCAATTGATGCATTATTGATAGACTTATCACTGTATTACTTTCTTATATATTCTCATTGATGCAGCCTTATTGAAGCGACAATAATCGCTTGTTTTTTTTCTTTTTAATGAATCATCAAATTAAGTGACGAAGTCAAATGGTTTCTTTGTTGATTACTTTTCATCATAAATTTTAATTAATGTAAAAGTTCTTTCCTGCCAAGAAAATGGAAATGTTTTCTTTTTCGATAATTTCAGTATTATTAATGTTAGAGTTTAAATTTGCATCCCAAATTTCTGGTTCAATTTAAGCAGTGCTTATTAATATTCCACTTTAACCGAATATGTAACTTCTTGTGGTGCAATTTAACACATATAATTGCAACTTAAAATAGTAGAAATGGACACATTACAAAAAAAAGTTTCCTTATTTGCACACGACAATCTTTGACTCGAGAGAATTTAAAATTGTTTGTGCCAAAATATGCATTGCGTTGAAACTTATGGGTAAATTAAACAAGAATTGTCATTATTGCTGCTCTAAAATTTTAATCTTAAAAATTTGAGTCAATTTTGACCATTTATAAAATCAATTAATTTGATATTATCATCAGTAAATTGCTAAGTTTTAAAATACATTCCGTTTTTCTTTTTGTCTCACATTATTATGTAATTTTAAATTGACGCTTCAACATAATGCTATCAATTTATTTTTTATTTTGTTTATTTTTGTCAGAGTTGGAAAAGCGCTGGATCGGGAAACGTTGGATCGGCATGTGTTGAAAGTAACAGCTTATGAACGCCTTGATCCAGCTGTATCAGCAAGTAGTTCAGTAATTGTGGAAATCCTGGATGTCCAGGATAACGCACCAATTTTCGAACGCAATTCCTATTATGCTGAAATTCGAGAGGATGCACCAGTAAATAATTATACCCTTGGCACATCGAAATTAGATATGAAAGAGAGAGAGAGAGAGTGAGATTCTGTTGCATGTTAGAAGCAAACCAATGCATAGTTGTACAGAGAGAGGAAAGCTTCTTTTGACACAAATTATGGGATGAGTTCTTTATCAAATAATACAATTAAAACGAGTAAAAGCTAAAATAAATACACTATTTGAAATATCACAAATACACTTATGCTAAAGCGATTTAAACCGAAATATTTTCTCTGGTTTCTACTTGAAAGATTAAACTGCATAAAATGAATACGTCTTGAAATTTTCTGTAATTACTTTACGGTAACTTGTTGATAATAATAGATATATAATTAATATTTACATTAATTATTACTTATTTGCTTTTACAAGGCATAATGGGCATAAGAAACAGTTATTACAACTGGTGTGAAATGTAATATTTTTAATAAGACTCTTCATTTTAGTTAACAACAAAGAATAAAATGATATTTAAACATTTCTGCCGCGAATCGATTCTTGAACTTTTAATTTCCAGATTGGCACAACAATAGCATCAGTTTTTGCCCGTGACTTAGATATCGGTTTGAACGGGGAAATTGTTTATTCACTCGGTGAGGAAAGTGGTGCTGAATTACTTCAAATTCATAGTTCAACAGGGGTCATCCAAACGGCACAGCACCTGGATCGAGAATTAATGAATATTATCCGGATATATGTATATGCAACCGATAAAGGAATACCACCGATGACATCAAGAGCTCTTCTGGAGATTATTCTTCTTGACGTCAATGATAATGCACCTGTTTTTGAACAGGTTATTTAGAAACTTAATTTTAAATTCAATCTAGTAATTTTTGATCAGTTTTTTGCCAAACAAACATGGATTATATATTGTTGTTATACGGAAAAATTGAATTAATCCAAATTTTAATTAAGTAAAACTTGCAACTTAAAGAGGAACTCTCATTCTTTTCTATCAACTTTAACAAATGTTATTTTGAAAAAGATTATTCCATCATTGCTCGGAACATTATTCACTTTCAATTGCAATAGCATTTGAGAAATAAAATGCATTTCTTCTAAATGTTAATAAAATTAATGAAATTCAACGTTTTTTTTCTAAATAGAATCATTGAAAAGTAATGAAAATTTTAGGAATTTTGCAATGTTACAATAATGGAAAATATCACCGTACCGTCCAATATTTTGCAAATCAAAGCAACAGACAGCGATTCTGGACAAAACGGTATTTTTATTTGAATTATGTGAAAAAGTAACTTCAAAATAAATTTAATCTTTTTTATTTCATTGAAATCAATAATTTATATTGTATCTTGCAGGAAAAGTGCATTATAGTATTGTAGCGTCTAGCATAAATGGGTTTTCCATAGATTATGAAAGCGGTTGGATAAAACTGCACCAAAAACTGGATTCACGATCCAATCCTGCAACACTTTTAGTGAGAGCCAAAGATTCAGGCCAACCTGCTCAATCTTCAACGATTAATTGCGCTCTACACATCATCGATATTAATGATCACGTACTGATTAATTACCCTATTATCATTTGTCACTATTTTATTTATCGGTATTCCCTGAAAAAAGTCTTCAAATTATGAAAAAACGTTCTCCTTTCTTCAAACAACTTGTTCTCTAATGCTAACTTAATTATTGGAATCCTAAAGTTTCTTTAATGATGTGAAAATTTTCACCTCATATTAAAAAACTTTGCCAGAAGCCACATTTTGTTGGATCACAGCAAGAATTGTTTGTGGAAGAAAACGTACCAATCGGATATGAAATAACACGAATTTTTGCTATCGATGAAGATAGCGGTATTAATGGTCGAATCACGTATACATTAGAAGGAGAAGAAAATGCAAATGAAACATTTCGCATTGACCGAATAACAGGAATTATTACAACTATAAGTAAGCTTGATCGAGAGGAAAAGGAAAAGTATATACTTAAGGTAGTGAAATTGCTATTAAAGATTATAATCAACGAATATTATTTGCCATTTTCTATCAAAAAGTCCAAATATTTTGAGATTAAAAATTTTCATTTCCGTTTTTGAGGACCACGAGGAGGAAAGGAAGAGAAAATGACAACAATTTTTGCTATGAAATGTACTATAAATTATTTGTACAAAAAAGAAAAAAGCTTTTCATAACTCAAAATTAGTAAAAATTTCTTTATTTCAGATGAAAGCAGAAGATGGCGGAGAACCGCCACTATCTGACAATTTACTAATAACAATAATAGTTCGTGACATCAATGATAATGCACCGTATTTTGAACCTAACTTTTACAATATTACTGTACCCGAAAATGAAATACGTGGAACGTCATTGATCAGCGTAAAAGCTATCGATCATGATAATGACGACAAAATAGTATACCGTATTGAAAGAGCCGATAAAGACATTTTTTCACTTATTCACTCAGCTGATCAGGTTTTTTCTCCCGTATTTCACTTCAAATTTTAAATCAATTTATAAATCAATTTAATTACTTGCTTGGATAAATATCTTATTAATTGCCTTATGAACTTTCATCTTAACAAATTTTAAACTCATTCCAATAGCTTAGGAAAATAGTACATAAAGAACAAAACGATAATACATATCGTGATGCATGCTAAGGGCTTACATAGCAATACTGAAAATAATTATAGTCAGTCCTGAGATAGATAGTTGATTCAGGCAGTCGAGAGTAAAGGATAGAAGTGCTTGTAATGAATGGTAGGAGAGAGAAGAGACCGTGCTTCTCACCGGTCCTTATAATAATTTCTAGATTTAGCCGGCGGATTTAAAAACATTTAGGGAACTATTTCCACAATTTTACTAACAAAATGCATGAAATCACAATTTGTCTTTGATCTGAAGTTTCTAAGAGACTACTCATCAATTATCTTTTCAAAATATTTCATAAATAATGCAAATATAAAAATCGGTCAGTAAAGATTGAGCGGCTCTAAGCTCTCACAGATTAGGAGGAATCACTAAAGTTCTCTTTGATGTTTAATTGTCTCCGCGGTTCAAAAAGGGTGACATTGGACAAGCCGGACATAAGAAACCCCCAATTCTGCAAGCATGTTACTATCAATGCATTTTACTATGTCAAAGAAAATTCAAATCTGTTCATGAAAAAATTTGAAACACTTCCAGGGTGCCATATTATCATTGTCGGGTGAAATTGATCGTATGGATGATACGATACATGTAATAATAACAGCAACTGATAAAGGTGGTTTAACAGGCACTTGTACAGTAACTATTATTGTTACTGATGTTAATACTGCACCAATATTTCTTGCTCATCCATTCACAGTACATATACGGGAAAATATCCCGATCGGCTCAGAAGTGATACAGCTGAAAGCAGAAGATCAGGACCGGCATGACAATGCCAAACTTACCTATTCTCTTGGTAAATTTAACGATTATTTTTGTTCGCTAAAAATTAACATTTTTTTAAATTAAAATAGAACACCTGAAAACTGATTACCATTAGCAATTATTTGTAAATGTTTGTAAATTTTAGATAGAAAAGAATTTAGTATTGATAAGGAAACGGGCTTAATAGTGATGGCGAAAGAGGTAGATCGAGAAGAACGTAGTAGCTATTTGCTTAATGTTACTGTCACCGATCATGCAACTAATCCGCTCAGTGCAAGCACATTTCTTGAAATTATTCTGGATGATGGTAAGCTTGCTTTCATACTAGATTTACACCATCTGTTTTCTCTTCCACAAATACTACTAATATTTCATTTGTTTTACATTTTCAAATTTTCTTTCCTGATTATTCCTTAATTTCTATTTTCTGCAATTCTCAGCTTTTTAATTTCAATGTTATCTTTTATATTTTTTCCTAACAAATTTTAATTTATCGATATTCCATTTGTTTCACATTTCTCGCATTTTGAAGTAATTTAATTTTCCACCTCTTTTTATGTCAAAACTTATGCTCTTTTTTCTTGCTCTTTCCATTAATTTAATTTCACTTAAAAGTTTCCAGTCCTCTCATCACCAAATAAGAAATGAGACAATATTGGATAATAAATCAATCGTATGCATATTCAAAATGACAACACAATTCATTCAATTTCATTGCAAAAGAAGGACAAAAAAAGGAAATAGCTTTATTCAAACTCTCCTTCATTACAAATTGTGCAAAGATCAATGAGCCGTAAAATACTTTCTTCCCGCACATATTCTCTCCTCCCTTCCATTTCGTCTTCTTTTCTTAATTAATCTAACAAAATGAAAGATATTAAATGCGACCAACGATTGTTACCAATACTGCTACTAATGTTTACTGTATTAATTATTGAAATCACTTGCCACGCTGCTAATTATCGCACATTTAATTCTCATCCTTCAATTGCCAAATCATACCTAAGCAATAATTCAAAAAGAAAAAGAAAGAAAAGATGTCTCCTCCAATTTCATTAGAAAATATTCCATCGATTAAACAGAAGGATTGAAATAAAATTAGCACAAATTATTCTCTTTTTTTTTGGAATATTTATTTAAATTCACAAACAAAACATTAAATGAAATTTGACAGTGTTGATGAACTAAAGAACAATTGTTAAAAACTTTTGGAACATCCTAAAAAAATTATTGTCTGGAAATAAGTTTGATGACTGATTTAATCTTTTATTACATCAACTTGCAAGCTTATCCAAAACATTTAGCTTAGGAAAATAACAAGATCTAATTAGGCGTAACATGAAGTCCAGGTATGAAATTACCATACATTTTTTGTGATCATTTTGATCAAATTTACACCTTCAACATCAGTAGGTAAAAAATTTAGTTACGACAAGCTTTTGATTATAAAAGTTGATTTAAAAACTTTGTATGGAATTTGAAGATTACAGTAGTTGGGATGTTTTACTCATTTTTGTGGGATAGAATAAAGAATTTAACGAACCAAAAATTAAAAACAATTTGATAATTATGTGAAATCGTGAGCAAATATCTCAGAAATTCCAACTTAAAATCTTTTAAAACTCTTATTCAAATTTTTGTGAGCTATCATCCGCTCTTTCATTCTCGTCTTAAAATTTTACATGTTCGGCATTCTCCAATACTTTTCACCGAATTTTCATCTTTGTTTAAATCAATCTCTTTACAGCATTTCAAAATATTTTGGAGGAATTTTCGAATTTCTACTTTTCAAATTTAAAATATTTCATATTGAAATCTCATTATTTTAAGTAAATGACAATGCACCGGAATTCACATCTGAAAATTACACGGTTGCAATAGCGGAAGACACGCCAATTGGAACATCATTCACTCAAGTGGCAGCTGTTGATGTAGATGAGGGAGATAACGCAATTATTGATTATTACCTGATTGAGGAGAATGGAAACGGTGATACCTTTAAATTGGATAGATCATCTGGAACATTACGTGTCGTTAGTAAGTTGGATCGTGAAATGATCGCCAGGTTAGCTTTTTTACAAAATCTATTTTAGAAATCCATATACCATTTCATTCATTCTAAGAAAGAATCAAGCTTCCAATCATTTAATAAACTTAAATTTATCTTTCTTAATACATGTTACTACTGGAAGTCCCTTCCTTAATTATCACTGACGAATATAATTTTCCCAGGTATCAATTAACAGTGAAAGCACAGGATCGCGGTAATCCACCATTATCATCTTTTTCCACAGTATCAGTAGTTATCACTGATGTTAACGACAACGCACCACAATTTGAATCACTTCGGTATGATTTATGGATCGCAGAGAATAGTCCCATAGATACCACAGTTGGTACCATTATTGCTCGTGATCAAGATGAAGATGACAACGCTCTCATACAATTTCGAATATTTGGTGGCATTGATGCAAAACTTTTCGATATTGAAACGGCATGTCCTCATCATATTATGTTATTTATTTCATAGACTAACTAAATTGATTATTAAGAAAAAAAAATGTGAAATCAGAAAAAATGAGAAAAATAAAAATGAATTGGTGGTTAATATCCTTTAATCTTTAATGTAGCAATAGCGAAGTCCTTGATATTGCAGGATTCAAGCCAAAACGGCGTGGCACATATACTTTCACGAACAATTTTCGATTATGAAGCCAAAAAGAACCATTTTTTTCTTGAAATTCAAGCAAGCAGGTCGATTTCACTTTAATAGGCTCTTAGTCAAAGATATATTGACAGCCGTTATTGTTGCATGAAATGAGGTGATTTTAGTGGTCAGCTAAGTTCTATTGTACCCGTTTATGTCCACGTCAGTGATGTCAACGATAACAGACCTCAACTTCGTGACTTCACTGTTCTTTATGCAAATCATGTTGATGAACCTGTGGAGCGAGAGATAGGATATATCCCAGCTTTGTTTGTTTTTTACACTTTATATTTACCTACTAAATTCCAAATTTCTTTCAAAGTTTTAGTTTCCTTAAATTTTTTCTGAAATCGGAAAAAAGTCCATTTTTCTCTTAATATTGATATCACTAATTTAAAACATACGAAAGCAACTACGCAAAAAGAGAAACACATTTTGGAAGTTCAATTTTAAAATTTTGAATGCCTCATTTGAATTAGGATAAATTCAGTGATCCAGACCATAATGCAACCTTGGAATATAGCATTGAAATAAACGATATTTTAATGGTGGATCAATATAAAGGCTCCATCATGCTGAAGAATGTTTGGAAACGATATATAAATGCTGTTTATAAGATCTGTGTTTCTGGTAAGATTAATCTATCAGTCCTTAATTTGAAATTCATTTACGTAATAAATAAAACAACAGTTGTATACAAGAAATTTTATTTGGAACGGCTAGAAATACATTCCAGATGGTCCGAATAATGTTTGTGCTAAATGTCGGTTCATTTACATACCCGTAGACGATGCTATTATCCGCAACGCGGTTACTGTTGGATTTCCGGATACTCGTTATGAAGAATTGTTAGATAACGGTATTTTTGAACGATTTACAAGTGCTATATCATTGTTAAATAATTGGCATAGCGATGATATTTGGGTATTTAGCATTCACACTCATAATAAATATACGAATGTATCATTCGTTGTTCATCACGCACATACCATTCAAAGGTAAGTCATTTATTCTATCAGATGCGTAAAACCTGCATACATACATTCTTTGATTAATCAAATGACTCAATTTTTAAGTTAATTAACATGCTAGAAGCAGATAATCTAATACACTTTAATGTGTCATATGTTTGTTGTAGAAGTACTCGTAGCTCCCGAAATAATTTATGTTACATGAAATTGATACGAATTGATATTTCAAATCAATTTAAGAGAGCATGAATGTATAATGCTCATAATTTATTTTGCATATGCAGATATGAACTATTTAATAAAATACGTGAATTTAAATTAAAAGTATTATGATGCTTGACATTGCCGGAAAAAGCAGGAGAAAATATAATTTAAATTTTAAAAATCTTTGAATTTAGATCGGAGCATGTAGAAGGATTAATTACAAATGGACTTGCCAAACTAAGTGATATAATTGGTATGAGATTAATGATACACAGAGATGCTACGTGTTCTAATGAACCGTGTCCATACTTTCAACAGTGTAGAAATATCCAGAAATATGTGAAAACCACGCAGGTGAATTGAACGTTTCAAGTAAAATAAATGAATCATCAACTGACTGCCATTTATTGAAAGTTCCGTGACAATATTGTTTGGCATTATTCTTTATAGTGTCAGGAATTCATTATATTCTCCTTTTACATCCATCTGTTGAGATGTGAAAATTCTCAAAATCTTCAGATAGACAAAATCCCAAAGCAGAAATCAAGCGGTTTTTCGTATATTCAGATCTATATCTGTTATTTTTGGGTAGGTAGATAAAAGAAAATTTTTTAATAATACAAAGCACGGTTTGAAACAGCTTACTTTCAAATCAAAATCAATTTAAAATCAGATTACAGAATTTTAAAACGGACAATTTCCTGATGCATTCTTTGGATACTGTCAATTCATTTCAATGTCAATGTCCAGTTGGATTTATAAGTTCGTTTCACTTAATTTAATTTATATGCTGCGAAATTAAGCGAAAGTTTTATTTACCTTACACAGTGTTTAACAGTAACAGTGAATGGATCATCGATGAATTTCATGCAATGTATATCTCGTCTCATTCAACTAATTTTCATGACAGATGGGTCAACCAATCTGAACATTTGTAATCTCTGGCTAGAACACATTATATTGCTCCCTTTTGCACATATCTATTTAATGACCTAGACGAGAACTGTTGGAAAGAAAGCCTGAAGAATCAAAACGGATTTTCCCATCAAACATTTTAGGGTGTAGAAAGTTCAATGAAACACATCTCATCATCAATAAATCATTAGCAATTGAGTAAATTAATTGCTTTCTGAGGTCTGTGTATGTGTGTTTCTGTCTCCGTGAGAAATATTTGTTATATATGTGTGTAAACCCTTGTGTTTCAGTAGTCTATATTTATAACTGCCTGCAGCGTTCGTCATCTCCGCTTGAATGCGTTAAATTGAAGTAATTAGCTTAGTGACTTATTGCCACCCATGGTCCACTTAATATCAGTTCTGAACTCTGAGTTTTTTTCCATTAAATATTCATTAATGTCTCCAAATAAAAGGAATGATTGATTTCAGCTGACAGTTATTCACAAGTTGAGGAAAAAGCGTTGAAATGTCAGTATTATTATATTTAACTATTATTATATGGATCAGTGCTCATATATGATATATGGCACATTATTCATCCCAGCCTCATATTTCATAATGGACTTGTCAAGTCCAAATTGAAATATATAACATAATTATGATGAAAGTGAGAGTGAGTAAGAGAGCAAGCGACAACTTTTTAATTAAAGAGGACATCGAAATGAGAAGCAAGTGTGAGCCTACAAACTATCGTGTGAAGTGGAAATCAAATTAAAATCTTCAAACCTATCGATTATGATAATATATGATTTGGGTATTTGTCTTCTACAGCAACAATTATGCAAAAGAAAAGTGGTTCTGGAAAAATTTTTTTTTTTGAGCAATCTAATATTTCATGCAGATTTCAACATGCATGATATATTAGAAGCTTCAAAATGCAGAAATTCCATCAATATTTTTTATAGATAGTCATAAAATTTTCGAGAAATTAGCTCAGCTAATAAAAATATAATTGACCTCGGATATCACACTCTCCCTGGTTCGGTTACTTTGCATCTAAGCTTATATCGCCTCCCATCCTCCATATATTAACTTGATTAACATTGAGATTTTATCTGCACGAATATTGCAACTTTCGAAATTTTAAAATAAAACTGAGATTTAGTATTTGGTAAGCTTTACAGGCAGCGATGGCATTGAGCAATCGTGTAATCATCGTCTTGATATGTGCTTCACGTCACCATGCCAACATCAAGGTACCTGTGTACCATTAGAAAATGGATATCGTTGTGATTGTCCACCACAATGGACAGGTTATTTTATAATTACATAAATTGGATGTATAAATGAGTTACTTACAAATTGGATAATATTAATTAGCCTATTACCTCCAAGCATGGACTAATTTTTATTGCAAAAAGTCAAGTAACTGAAAAATTTGCAATTTGTTTAAATAAATAGATTGCATAACTTTGCCAAAATTTTTACAATCATCATCTATTAAGTGACATTAATTATAACAATTTTCATTGATTTCATTATTAATCAAACATCTTTCAACAGAAATATCCTCTGAAACAATTACTTATAATTTTTTCCAAGTCCATCAACGGTTTACAATAAAAATCCTCATACAATATCAAATATTCTCAACTCTTTAATAAGTGAACTTCAAAAGTGATAGAGAGAAAGAAGAAATGAGAGGTATAAAAACCAACATGAAATTTTGCAAAACAAATGATTTTAAGATGCTTGACTGCATTTGTCGAATTAATAATTAGATTGTTAGCAAAGTGCTGTGATTAAAATTAGTCCATAAACTATTTGGTAGCTTTTAACTTAACCATACTAGTAAACACTAGAAAGGATTGTTCGAAGCGAGAATTACATCGATGAATCGTCGTTAGCAATATCGTATGGAGTTGAATCAAAAAGAACAAATTTTGGAGTGGCATAAGAAGGACATGTAATAATAACACGTCGAGCGGTATGAATAGGTTCTTAAGGCTTCCTTCCATAACCTTTTTGGTTTGGAAGCTAGTAGTAAGAGCTTTTAATGACGGTGCGACCCATCTTGGTCGCTGAATAATTACCATTCACAAAATGTTTCCTGTCCCCGTGTGTCCACTTCTTTTCCATAGCTTCCATTTCTCTCACCCTTTTCTTCCTAATAAGCCTATATGCAAATGTTCATATAACATTAATGCATTTCTCCTCCCCAGGGATCGTCTATAACCCAACAATTTTATTTGTAATGGATATTTCAATGAATTTTTAGGTCTGAAAATCTTTAACAAAATTTCACAAATAAAAAGTCATACAGATAAATTTATATGATGAGATTTTTATTGAGTAAAAAAGCTGTCAATAATTGTAAATTAATGAACATAAAAAGTAAGAAAAAAATTTGTACGAAACTTGTCAATGCGATTCTCCAGTGGAAATTCTTCTGCCATTCTCGTTTTAAAGAGGCGAAGGGCCAAACAGTAAACAGTTAATCATATAAATTCAGTTTTAGGGCAAGCAATATAATAACAAAAAAGAAAAATTCGTTTCGGAATTAAATGTCGTTATGAAATATCAATTTGATTCGAAGTTCTTTTTTTTAAATCCAACTACTGTGGATGTAAGAAGAGGATTACATACCACAAATGATCAAATTTTCTAGGAGAAAATTGCGAAAATTCGATTTACATGGACAATTGTTTGCCCAATTCGTGCTTTTCAAATGCTGTATGCAAATTGGTAAATCGAACGGCGAAATGTGTTCAATGTCGTTGGCATTCGCATGACACGGATTCGCAGTGTAGACTGCGTTCCATCTCATTTGGAGAAGACGGTGGTTACATCGTTCTACCCCTTCAGATTACTCGAATGGAGTGGAAATTGCAATTTAGGTTTGTCAAGTTTTTAAATTACGAATTCATTTTTCAACCTATCATTATATTATTAGTGGTACAGGAAAATTATAACAAGAAAATCGACCCTCTTTTCCAATCTTTTTTCTGTAATATTTGAATCAAACAATTTGTTTTCAGCATAGCAACAGTGGCATCCAATGGTGTGCTGCTTTTTGTGGGAAATTTATCGTCCGATTTTCTGGAAGTGTCATTGCAAGATGCACTTGTTCGGGGACGATTTTCCCTCGGTCATGACATATATGAGGTTTTTGCATCATTATCTAAAAATTTGGTTTCCTTTTTACTTTAGAATTCAAGTCTTAATTTTATTTGATATTCTACTCATTTGCTGGCAGTAAAAAACTTTGTTTAACATCTGCTAATTTGAAATAGACTAAATATAGTTTCCCAATTTTTCCAGGTAACAATGGATGACTGGCCTGAAAACAGAGTAAACGATGGGAAATGGCATCAAATAACGCTCGATTACTATGATAATGTTAGTTATAAGGAAATATTAATTCTTGACATTGTTGACTTTTAAAAAGTTGTCCTATGCTATTGCAATATTTTTAGAAGGAAAATTAAATAAAATAAAATCTTTTATTTCATTCATTGTGGTTTGACGGTTTCAGAAATTGATCATATCACTGAATGATTGTGATGCTTATATTGCCATGAAGTATAGCAATATCACTGGCTACCGGAAATGTGCTGTTGAAGTTATCGCAAAATTACCGAAAAAGTTCGTTAATTAAAATTAAAGATTCGCTAAACTTCACTAGGAAAACACGAGATAAATTGTAAAGGATATGCATACTCGTACAAATCTTTAGAAAATAAAGAAAACGAAAAATTATACAACGAAGTATTCATAATATTGAAATGTCACTCACCCTTAGATTGTTGAGTAATTTATGTTTTTCACGTCATATAGTTAGTAGCTTTCCTCAAAAAAATACAGTTAAGCTCTTTTACAGATGTGAAGATCCAGCTGTAAGCTGTTATCGATTCTTCGATCTTCCTGCTACTATAAATCTTGGCGGTCGAGCAGTAACTATTGCTAAACAGAATTATATCAGCGGAATCGATGGTGACCAATACGGTTTAGCAAGAATTCAAGAACCATTCGTCGGATGCATCTCAAATTTAACTTTTGATGGAACACTATTAGATTTTTCAAAATTTGAGGAATTTGAAAAAATTGGGGACTTGCAGCATGGTTGTAAACAGAAAAGAAATGACTGCCACAGTAATCCATGTCATCCTACTGCAATTTGTGAGCCGGCATGGGATGGATATCATTGTCGTTGTAAGCAAACAGCGCATACTAATGGGCCTTGCATCGATGATGGTAAGAATTTCTGAAAATTGAATTTCCAAGCTAATCACTGTAATTGCCACTCTGACATTCAACGTAACTTCAATAATTATTACATGCGCAATATGAAATGAGGTTAATGCCATCAGTTTTATTTTGATTTTTATGACCTTTTCTCTTTCGATGTTAGAATTTTTCATTTTCAAAAGATTCGAAATCACTCGATCTACTACTTTAGAAAATTCATTTGTTTCACTTTATGACGAAGAATCGTTTGTTTTCTGGAATATACCAGATAATATGAAATTCTACAATTTATCATTTGAATTTCGGACGCGTTCACGTGAAACACAAGTTATTGCAGCTGAATTTTTTAAACGGTCGCAATTTATTATTTTCTCGGTATGTTTTTTTTGTGAATTAGTTCTCTTGAGCTTACTGCTCACTTTAATTTAATTTACCTAATCAAATTTGATGTATTGTAAAGTTGCATGTCATATTTAAAAATTCAAAATTATGTCGAAAAGGATTCCGGGAAGATTGATTTTGCTTATTGAATGTAATATCATGAATAAAATGTTAAAAATTTTAAATGCTTAGATATTATTTTAAGGTAAGTCAAGGCAAAGGACTGATAACCATTGGCTCTGAACAGTATTTTCTCTCGTTCCCAAATTTTGCCGATGGGAATTTAAAAAGTTTTTCAATTGCTGTTGAAAAATATGCTACGCTCATTGTCATCGATCACTTATACAAAAAGGCTTGTTTTCTTTGTTGCCAATTATTAATTTTCCCACAACTTTTTTAAAAGAGCACACTTGGAAATTTTCTATTGCATAAAATATAAAAATTTAAGCAGTCTGATTTGAAGAGAAGTTTAAAATGCTGCTTTACTGTTTCTCTAAAAATTTCACTCACTCTTTCCTTCTGTTGATTCTAGAATTAAGCTACAAGATCCTGATTTTGATTTCACTCATCCATTCTATTTTCAGCGTATCGTAATGCCAAATAATAATTTATATCGTGACATACGCAAAGTTTATTCGGGATTAGCTCCATCAACCAGTTATCCACAACGATTTGAAGGATGCATTCGAAATGTTAAAATCAATGATTTACGGTTGAAATTGGCTGAAAATATGATGACAAAGCCTGGTTGTCAAGTATTAATTAACCATTTCTTACAGTATGTGAAAAAGTGGTGCAATATCAATATTAATCTTGCTTTCTTCACTCAGTCAGTTATCACCGTGATTTCTTCTATTTCAATCTTCGAACCAATTTTATATTTCTCTGGAAACAATTGTTTCAAAACTATTTTCTTTCTATGAAATTTTCTAAATTTAGGTACCAAATGCATGCAATTTGCCGAAGACCTGTCCAGTTAATAGTATTTGTGTTCGAGAATGGGATCGACACCGTTGCGAATGCAAGCAGGGTACTTACTTTCTTTTTAATTTATTTAGGGAAAATTTGAGAGAAAAATAATTTATTGGGAGAAAACAATTCAACTGTTGCTTTTCCGTGATTAAAAATTGGTGACGTCTTTGGGATTGTTTCCAAAGGTATTCCTAATTTAGATTATCTTAGAAATATGATTTGTATGAGTAGCCGAAGATGAAATTTTGCAGGTTTCATTGGTGATGGATGCGTAAATATTTGTTCATTACCGAATTTATGTGGTAGAGGAGGCGTATGTCACACAAAAAATAGTTCAACAGGTTGACTTTATACATTGCCTTCTTCTCTGAGGCTTTTTACTTTCTTTTATGCAAGGACTATTGTTTCTTGCTGTTCTGAGTACTAATTCAAGTTTATACGAATGGATTTCCATAATTTTTTAGTCTTCATTTTATTCGAACCCTATCCGTTCTTTTTATTTATTTGAGAATTTTGCAAAATGTCGATTTTAGGATACGAATGCAACTGTAGTGGAGAATTAAGTGGACGGAATTGTGAGCGCAAAATAGCGTTGCAAGTATGCCCAAAAGGATGGTATGGTACTTTTCCGAATTGTAAACAATGTTCCTGTGATACCGGAAGAGGTTTCCTAGAACAATGCAATACTGAAACGGGCGAATGTTATTGCAAGGTTACCTTATCACCTCAACAAAAGCAATGGATGCTCAGAAATTATTTTCATTTATTTTTGTAATGGTTCGCAAAAAAACAAAATAAGAAATGGTTTATAGAGTGGCACCTATTACTCGGGAGATGAATGCATATCGTGTGACTGCGGTTATGGTTCCTCAGACTTAACTTGTACTTCGAAAGGTCAATGTCAATGTATTGGTGAAGCTGTAGGTCGTCGGTGTGATCGATGTCGTGGTTCAGATCAAGTTTTAGACCGGAAAACTTTAAAATGTTTGAAAATTAAGAATAGATGTCCGTCAAACATTGAGTATGGTATCCAGTGGCCAACAACCATTGTTGGAGCAACTGCAAGACAAGTAATACCTTTTTCCTCTAACTTCCTCTTCTCACCACACTCTCCTCTCTTCTTCCCCAAAATTATTGTTATTTTTTAAGTAACTATTAGAAATGAACGAACAATTAAATTTAATGATGAATCTCACCGCTCCAAGAAATATTAGATAATGTTCTAATCTAACGATTGCGTTATTGACTGATTTTCCTGTTTATGAATTCACAGGTAAGATAGGTATTATTTCAGTTTTTGATAATATTACTTGCACTGATCTGTTTTGTTAAAGAGTTGCCCAAACGGTGAAGTTGGTTTAGCTTTGCGAAAATGTCTGAGAAATGCCTACTGGGATAAAATCAACAATTACAATTGTACTCTTCCTGCCTTCACTAAGGTAATCGTTGTCTTATTGAATAAATATAACATTACTTTTCGAAATACTCAATTCTTCACTGAAATTCTTGTCGCAACAAAATGCATTTTCTTTTTTGTATATATGTTTTCTAAGTAAGCTTTGAAATATGCCGATTCACAAATATGAATCGGCATATTTCAAAGCTTACTTAGAAAACATGAAAACAATTTCTTATCCCAAAATTAATAATCTAACTTGTAATTTTTAGCTAGATTTAACTGATCGGATGAAGCTTGCACAAAGTTTGAGAAATGTGACAAGCACCGTGCTGCATTTGAAAGGTGTTAATGTTGCTATTGCCAGAAAAGCGTTGAAGCAATTGATCAAGGAAGAACTTAGTGGAAATGATTCTTTGAATAACCATTTGAAGTTTGTATCTTATTTCAAAAAATTTAAGAAAAAGGTTACAGAAAAACTTTAAAACTTGAAAATTAAGCTGTTAAAATGCTTGATATGAAGGAAACAAATTGTTTCCACCTATAACTATTTTCAGGTCAACAGAATATACCAATCATTTACTGAAAGTGGCAGACAGTTTGCTGAAGATAAAGGATTATCCAGACAATGCTCAATTAATTCGCCTCTTCAATGATTATGGCATCCATATAGCGAACATTCATCAAATTCATTCATATCTCAAGCCATTTATGTTCTGCGGACAAAATATGGGTTACTTTTTTTCCGTTTCTTCTTTAAATTTTTATATAAAAGCGATATAAAAACACAAATGGTCAAACAAACGGGTAGATCAAATGGAATAGGTTTGTCTATTAATAACAAACACCTTTGGAAAGCCTTCTTATGGTTGTGTCGGAAATGCAATTGTCTCACCGTAAGGAAATACTTTACTGCATTAAATTTATTACTCTCACTTATCTAAATAGCAATGGGGCGGAAATATACCTATATTTCTCATTTTCAAAAGAATCTAAATATAGTTTTACATGCAGAAAATAACACACTTTTCTACTATTAAAATTGGCATCTCCCACTTCACTTATGATTTGTTAGATACTCATCTTATTCAAGACAATAAAATAATTTTGAGAAGATTGGATTAATCTATGTGATTTAATTTGACTAATTACAGTCTTCGCAGTAGACGAGATGCCTGATGGAAGTCGAATATTGCCAAAGTTCAAGAATTTCGTGGATGAACGCGTGGAGAATTTCCCTAGTATACAGATGAAGCTTCTATGTGATGATACAATAGCTTATTCTAAAAAAGTTATATTTTACAGTATGTTTAACAATATAGACCGTTTCCACTGCAAAGCACCGATCGTCGCCGTTTACTACAATGCCACCTGTGCAATTCAAGTACTATTCCCAGTTAGCGAAGAAGCTTGGAAGTACCCAGAATGTGTGATTGCCGAAGATCCGACAAAAAATAGCGAACTATCCAGAACTAAGGATGGGGCGAGTGAAAATATGGAAACGGAAAATATATTTCTGGAGTGGTCTGCACAAAGGACGGCACTCGTGGGACTTAATCGGACCCATGCTATTTGTAATTTCGAAAGATCTGGTGTTTATACGATTATTATTCGACCAGATCATGGAGCTCTGGTAAGTAAAATTTTTGAACACGCTATCGAAAATTGCTTTTTATCATAAAGTATAGCAATAAGGGCCAATTCTAAGGAAGGCAAAGTTTGAAATTTTCAACCGCAAAGTTTTTATTTCAGTTTTTAATGCAGAAGATTTTTTGAAAAATCAACTTGCAGATCCGTTTTATACCTTCAAAAACCATACCTTATGCCGGATCATTGTGCGTAACGTTTGCTCTTGTTTTACTTTTACTATCTGCAATCCGGACCCTTTATCGACCCTGTCTACGCCTAAGGCTTATTCGATTCGGCTTCATCCTTATGTTTGTATTTGATGTGGCCGCTATTTTCTTGGTTCATCGCCTTCAACCAAGTATTGTATGTGTATTTCTATTTGTAAATCTTTCTGAAGTTTTGGATTTATTTGCAAATCTTTCTGAAGTTTTGGATTTAAAATTTATGATTTGATTTGAAAATTATCATTTTGTCTGTTATGCTCGCATTGTATAAAATCACATTTGTTTCTTTTTTTTTTTATTTTTGCTGGAACTTTGTTCTTTCTATTTTATTATCACAAAAGTGAAAATGAAATTACCCTTTCAGGTATTTTGCCTTGCACGGAATACAATTATAAGCTTGTGTACTTCGGCAGTATTTGCATGGCTTTTTATGTATTCCTTCCACATTTATCGACTCCTGGCAACGGGAAAAGCAGAGTCGAAGTAAGTTTTAGAATCAGGCATTATTTCTTGAAAATTTAGCATTTTTTAAAAGTAAGACGAATACCGAATTGAATTTTTAAATAATTTCAGTTATAAAGTTATTATTAAACCAACTTAAAGTGCTGATTTGTTTTAAATAAGAAATGGAATGACGTGTTGACATATTAGCGCAATTTTTTTTTAATCTCTGCTAACTTTAAATTCGTATTTTGCAGTTACTGGATGATAATACTGTGTTCAATAATTATTCCAATAATGTTATCACTAGCATCCTTTTTCTTTGCTCCAGGATGTTCACTTTCACCAAACCAACCTTTCTTCTGGGTTCTTCTGATTCCAATTGTATTGTATATCTTGGTAATTTACTTTTTGAAATTTGCTTCATTAATTTTGCTATCTTTTTCGATGTTTTTTTCATTCAGCATCTCGCTTGCCCTCATTTGCTTCCTCTTTCCTGTTCAGATTGCCCAGATTTTATCAAAAATTTACAAATTGTTCAATATCATAAACTTAGCGGTCTCTTACAACATTTACCTTTTTTTGCCGTATCCCATCACCAAGGACGAGAAAAGATGAGACTAACCTACTTATGTTTTATATGTCCAGTTTATCCGGCTAAAGTTATGAATAATTTGTTACTCATTGAGATAATCAATTGACAATGACATGACATCTAATATACCATACTTCTTTGTACTTCTTTTACTTACTTAATAGTTGAGTCAACTTTAAACTACTTTTGCGAAATCTATACTCAGTTAAGTTCAAAGCGTTCAATATATGGTTGGACAATCCTTGTTATCTTGGAAATATTACTTTTGAACTAGGTAACAATGTAATTAATAATCATACAGTACATCCCAACATTTCAAATGCTATTAGATTTACAACTTTACCGCTTATTTCTAATCTTATCCTTCAAAATGCAATCTATAGGAAAGATTTAAGTTTTTTGGATTTTTTGAATTCTTAAGTTATATGTATGTGATGATAAAAGAATTTCAGTTCGATTTTTACGCATTTTCGACGGCTCTTCTGATATCATTTAGCAAACAATTCGATTGTATGGTTACCGAGTATTCCATTCGAGCAACACTTTGGTTGCATATCGTCCTGGTTTGTTTCCATTTACACAAATTAAATTAGTCAATTCTTCAGCAGTCATTTTCAAAATATTTGTTAAAATTTGAAAAATAACTGCAAATTTTGGCAGTTAATAGAATAATGCTGAAAAGATATTTATGATAGGGAAAATGGGAAATTTAGTGACATTTGACAGAGTATGTGAATTTTCTAAATTGAATAACATTGATAAAAAGGATATGGGAATTTTCCATGGTTTCGTTTTTTGTTTGTTTCGTTGTTCATTCCAGCAAAGATTTTTCAGTTTCTTCGATAGTTACTTTTTTCATCGTAACCTTTTTTATTGGGATTCATATTTTTGTTCATTTAAATGAAGATGGAAATGAAAACTGAATGAAACGTTCAATTAGGTCAGAAGGATAGAAAATTTATTAAATGAAAAGTGCTGTTTTTAATCAATTCGGGAATGCGTTTCATTATGGAAAAATATTGGTATGATAAAAAAAAGTTCGGAATGAAAGATGACACGCTTTTTCAGTCTATATTATGCCTATTCTACAATTCTTTCGGTTTTTACATATTGTTCGATCGTGTTGACAGCCCACTCTATGAAATTGCTTTGAATTCAACATTGGTTTTCGTCGCCACGTATATTTTCTTATGGACATATTATTTTGGTCCAAAGGTGATTTTTTATTATCACCACCAATACAATCTTTCAAAAAAAATGAGAAAAATTGAAAACATTTTAACATTTTTAATAAAATCTGCAATTTCTAATAATTTTAAAACAGTTATTTTAAAGATTCATCCATTAAATTCTTGCACATAAGTAGAGATTTGAACTTGATGATGCTAATTTGTTGATTCCTAATAATCCGACCATAATTATTCTTACTTTATGCTAGAAATACTTGTAAGATTTTGAAAATCAGTCCTTATGGGATAGACTGAAATATTTTCTGGGCGGTCAGCATCAAATATGTATCCGACAAAAAGTCACCGCTTTGAATGTCTGGAAGTATGCGATATAGCTTGAAACTTAGCATCGAAAGAGGTTGTTGACCCTTGGGAGAGAAATTTAAAATTGAACCATTGTCAAGTATAAGGACTTGACAATATAAAATTTTACATGCGCTTTTTCTCTCCAAATTACAAATCCATTTCAAGGCTACTGTATGATAGCAAGTTATAAGTCAAAGTCAAAGGTCAAAGATGTATTTATGGTTTGCTTTCTTTTTGTAAGTCATTAATCAATTTATTAAATGAGACTTTTCGTAGCGAAAAATTTGATTGGGGACTGTAAAGTTGTGCTGTGTCTTCAGCGAAATAGTCGTTATGATAGTGGTTTATGGATGAATAATTTGCCGAAAAGTAGAGAAGAAGTTTTGGATCCTCAATGTCAAACTCCACTCCTGCTGCAGTCATCAAATACAGGTTGAAGTCCATTAATAACTGTAAAATATCGTCAATTTCATTTTGCTTTTTATTTGGAAATTTCACATTGTTATGAAATTTTTCATTTTTTAAAATTTTAAAATATCCTGTAACTATTGAAGATGCGGAAATAAGTGGAAACTGCGTTAATGGATGGATGCCCGATATCATACCTTCAGTAACATATGCCCATCAGGAATCGACCCATGGTGTACCACATCCGAAAATTTTAAGTCCACCGATGAAAATACTCCACCATGAGGCATATGCTACTGCAGAAGGAATTGCTTTACTCTATCAGGACAACGCTGCGACCAATGAAATCGATCATGTTTATGGTACCTATTCTAGTAAACATCATTATCCATCCTTTACTTTTAGTCGTTAATGCTATGTGCTATTATTGCTGTTGATCCGGTTATTATCGCTTATTCAAAATAAAATCATTGAAAGTTATGGTTTCAAATCGTTACTAAGTTTATTTAATGAATTTGCACAAAATATCTCTTGTTTGCAAAACCAATTTGAATTTTCCAATTTACTTTTTTATTTCACCATTATATACTAATTCATAATTGCTATGCAAAGTATAGATGTGCTATGAAAGTTTGGATTATTTGGGATGTGAAAAACCATGTAATTAACTAAGAATTTCAAATATTTATTGAAATGCAAATAAAAATTATGCCGAAACTTTGAGTATAACATGAAAGATGTGTTTCCATTTTTTAATCATCGATTTCAATTAATCTGCTGTGCTTTTTTCGTTTAAATGATTTAAACGAGCTGTTTTAACAATATTTATAGGTTATGTATATAGAGTTTTATTTCTTCTTCAATTTTAAGTATTTATTTCTCAATTTAATTTTTTTCGATTTTTCTCAATTATTTTGTTTTATCTGAATGTTGTTGTGAAAGTCACAGCGAGATATTGCTGGAATTTTTAGTTTGATAGAAGTGAACGAATATAATGAAGCATGTAATGTATAGCATGTAACAAAAATGCCAGAAAATTTCCCTCCGCGTATTGTGGGATATTCTCCATCCTCCCGTACGAAAGTTCACCAAATATCTGTCATTTAAACTAGTTGCTTCGATTCATCTGTCCACTGCTGATTAGGTATTTATGATTGGATTGGTTGCGTGAATAAGTGTCGATTTCAAAATTTTTTTGCAGAAATGTTGTAATGGTGAATGGATGCAAGTAAATGGTCTGGTGTGAGTCGTATGTGTGTGTTGTGTATATGTATGTGTGTCATTAAGATTTAAGTCATTCATCAAAAAGCAATTTGGAAGTCTTTTGAAAATAATTTAGAAAGAAATGGATATATGTCGCAATACTTTAAATAGACCACCAAGTAGGAAGAAGTGAAGTAGATGTTGGTCCTTCCATTTTGTACGTCAACACTATTGTTATGCCGTTCTGGGTGATTAATTTATCATTTTTTAAATGCAATCCATATATATGTATACAAATATGGAATGCATTTCATTTAAGGCTCTGTCTCCTTCATCGAAAGTCATTCGCTTTTAAAATTATCTACCACCCCAATCCATGTTTGCTTGAATAAGTCATTAACAATACTATACTTATTACTTTAAGCAAACTTATTATTTGGTATACTGTTTTTATATTGACTGTACATATTTCTTCTCATATTTTTCTCCGTTTTCGAATTTTTGTAAAACTTTTTATTACATTTAAGGACAGCTGAAAAATTAATCGATCTACGTACTATTCTTACTTTACTAACTTTGATATCTTACTATCGATTGTTAAACATTTCCATAATCAGATCGATGTTAAAAAGATATCTGATATACTATATTGATATTGTGTATCATACTAGATAAAAATAGTGAGAATATTTCCAGAGATTCTAAGCATCCGTTTAAAAAGATGCAAATATGTACCTCTTTCATTTGAAATTGAAATAACAGCCAGATAAATGAATAGATATTTAAACAGTTTTCCAGGAAATGATAGGTAGTTTTCCTTCTTCTAGAATAATGTAATCTTAATTTACTTCATGAATAATGGATCTAAAGCAGAAAGATTCCGCTTGATTACTTCACGCGTATATCATCATGGTTGACTTGTATTGTATCTCGTTCGTATGTGCCAAAATGTTCGTCTAGAGGTTGTTAGGACTTCATCAAAAGTTCTGAGATGTTTAATTCTCGCACACAATGATACATCCAAATCAAAGTTATCTTTCTTGAACATGCCACATTTCGCGCTACTTCAGTACTAAAAAAAAGATGAACCTAAAAAGATTTTCTCTTTCAGAAAAAATATGACGGACAACATTATTTTGGTAATCCTGCTATTAAATGGAATCATTTGTGAGGCACAATATCATAACTGTTTCATGTCTGGTGGTATTTCCGGACGTTCGACCTGGTGTGGTGAAAACTCGAAAGATGAAGAGAATTTGAAAGATCCAGTGGAGATAATGAAACGTGCCAAAGAATTCCTTGAAAAGCAGAACAAAATTATATTGGATCCAATGACCTGGACTCTAGCAATAACGACACCACCACCATCAATATCTGTTTCACCAGTCATTAACGCAACATCGGCAGCGACAGTATCAGGTCCAATGCTTGTAGCTCAACCTGGAATAACCGAAGCAAGAGCACAATCATCATACATTCCGTTATATTCAGTAGCACTGCCCGGTGATGCCAATTCACTCCCTACTCCTATTTCAAAAGATCCTTCAAACTTATCCAATTTGCAATTACTACCATTTGTTGGAATACTTTCTCCAGAAAACTCACGTGGCCTTCAGAACGATCTTATTTCAACTGGCCAAGCAAATTTTCCTTATCGTCTTGCAAATTCTGAGCAAATAAGTAGACTCCAACAGCAATTTCGGAATCAAGCAAATTACATGGTAAATAAAGAGAATGAAGCAAGTAATACGATAAATAAAGTAAACGAAATACCTCGTCTGTTGAAAATACCACCATCACCTTCAACACCAAAATTTTTTGCTGAAGAACAAAATCTAAAATTGAAAGAAAATAATGACTTGACGGATATGAGTAGCATAAAACCAATTAGGTTAGTCCTAAATCGGCCGTTAGCAATACTCGCATCCCGAAAAGGCAGTCAGTCAATCACTGCTTAACTCTTTTCATTGATTCAAAAATCCTAGAATCTTCAGCGAGAAATCCTTCTCGCTCAATCTTTCTTCAACCACATCACTGATACAAATTTATTGATATTTCTTCCATTTTACCACTAATTAGTTTATCATTGTTATTTGCCGCAATTCCAACCTATTTCAGCTGCGTTACTACTTTTCATGCAACTGCTATATAACCTCGAAATAAAATGTTTTTGCCCACTGAAATGGAATTGTAACCTCCTGTGCCATGAAGTTAAACCAAATTTGTGCATTACCTTTCAAAAATGAATGATAGGTTTACATATTCTTTGTCTGCAATAACAATTTGCAAGTTTCATCTGTTTCTATCAAAACGGTTTCATTACATTTAGATATTTTGTTGTGAATATCAAATAAGTGTACTTAATATACACTCTCTTTCTCTTTTATTGTTCAATGTACAATCCAAATAAATGTTTTCGCATTATTTGTGGCAAATGGGAAAACGTAATGTTTTTATCTAATTTTTCTGAGTTTGTCGATTTTTAAATCTTTATTCCAAAAAAAATGCTTCGAATAATGTATACCATATCAGCTTCCCTTAATAATGGCATATAAAAACGAACGGATCTTTAGTGATCTATCAAGAAAATACATCAGACTACCTAATATCCATATGTGAAACCAACATTTGCCGATAATGTATCGATAATGATATTGCTCGAAAAGAAAAAAATCGACTTTATTCGAAAAAACAGTTTTTATTGTTTCATAGTGAAACAACCAAATATATATCCAAAATCAACAGAAAAACTGTTCCAACAGATAAATACTTTTGATTTGATAACGATACCAAAGTCCCATCAATACTCGCTAATTGGAAGCTTTGTTCGATCGACATCAGCGAAGTATGGATCTTCCAAAAGCTCTTTCGCAGAGATTCGTCCCGACGGCTTATAATTCAACATTTTCTGCAAAAAAAGGTACAAAGATAAAACGAAATAAAGAATACCCTAGAAACTATAATAGCAGAATACAAAATCAAAAGCAGCCTCGTCTGATCCCAAAGTTCAGATGAAACATTCTCAACCTGCACAATCTCAATGCCATCAGCATCCATAGAGCGATTAAGAATTTCATGAAGGTGATTATTCGTCCACTTAGGGAATGTTTCCGAACAATTTGGTATATTTGTCAGTTCGTGTAATACTTCCTCACATGGAGTCGATAGCACTCTAAAAATGCAATGATGAAAAATAGTAGAATGATAAAGAAAACACAATAAATTTAAACAAACTTAAAAATGCGAAAAATCTGATCAATATTTGAATCGCCCGGAGGAAACAGTGCTTGCTTCACAGCCATTTCGGCAGTAATGCATCCGATGCTCCATATGTCTATTGCCGATGTGCAATTAATCAAACCAAATAGTAATTCCGGAGCTTTATAAAATCGAATATAAACCTGCAAGCGATATCCAAACATATATTTTTGAATATAAGGATGAGTCTCTAATCTGCCGATTTTTGAAACAAAATTTTGAAAAATAACCTCTTGCGTGTGGTGTCTCCCCAAAGAGTTAACTGTTTCATCGAAACAGAAATCAGCAAGCTTAAGGCGACCTTTCTCGTCAACAAGTAAATTCTGAGGCTTTAAATTACGATGCAGAATATTTCTTTGGTGACAATAATAGATACCTTGGAGGATCTGATACAAATACGACTTCTGCTGTAATTAATTAAACTTTCATTCTCTCACGACGTGGATTTTCAGTCTTACATAAATGGATTAAAATAAATTTCAATCACTTTTCCTTCTGTTTTCCAAAGAATTAATTAACTCTGTCTTTATGGAGACAACGAAAAGGTCAAGAGAAAAGAACCACACTGGCCTCAGCTTTATCCATCCATTTGTCATCAGGAATTTTGCCGATGTAACACTTTAGATTCATACTAACAAATTCAAACACCAGATATAGTTGATCGTCGCCCATTATTACGTCTTCAAGACTGTAATTAATCTTAATTCAATTATTGCAGGTGAATAATTAGAACCATATAATATATCAGCATTGATAACCGCACATATTCATTGAATCTCAGACTGAGAACCCGTGATCTTTCGACTTACAACATTTTATATGCTCGGCAAATTACCCAGAGTTTCAACTTTTACTGCGGGAAAAGATTCTTTGATTAAATGAAACAGTTTTTGGCTGTGTGTCGAATATGGAGCCGCTTGAGTTTTTCGAAGCCTTTGATACCGAATTTCGTTTCCTCCACTTGTTCATTACTCCCATCCAAACTAGCTTCTTGGTTAAGAGGACAAATACCTTCAACACACCTCAACAAATGAGCATTTGCTGTTAACTTTGTGATGCAGTAAAACATCCTATTTATAAATGTTATTAGTCAGTACTGTGACAGAAAAAAAAACATACGAAACGATGTTTGGATGTTGCAGTAATTTAAGAAGTGTGATTTCTCGTAACACTGCAGATGGCACACCATTCTCAACCGTTAAATTCATTTTGACTTTCTTGATTGTAACCATATTTCTTGCACGCTCCTCATCGATAGCCTTGTAGATGGTACCATGTATCCCTGGCAACATTTAGAATTAAAGAAATTGATTTTTGAAATTTGGTCATTCTAGATTTAAAATGTTCTTTCTTAATTTATAATTTACATTCAACATACCTTCACCAATTCTTGCAGTTCCAATATAATAACCGTTCCAAACATCCGGTAGCTCTGCAGCCATTCCCGCAACTGTATATGCAAGAGAAAACATTAAAAGTTTTAAGTAAAATCAAATCAAGCAACATAAATCATATCCTTTTATGCGTGTCTTTTTGTCCGTCTGCCTCAAATTTATTCTGAGTCTTGTACCAATTCATACAGTAATCTCTACGGATCATGCTCCGCAGAATGGATCAACTTAAAAAGTTAATTTCACGAATTAAACAAAACTTTAACATTCAAACATCCCAGATAATGTAGATTCGAGATTCTTAAGACAACTGCCTGAGGATATCTTTCTTAACCTAGGATTAAATACTGCAACATAACGAAGGTCAAACACATAAAATTAAAAAGAAAACTCCTTTTGTTAGATAAACAAACATGCAAGTTCCGACAAATGATCATGCTGGCAATTTTATATCTAAGACCAAAATAAGAATGAACCCGTCCTTCGGCACACTCTCACTGATTCAGTAGTTTCAAGACCCTCAATCTTGCTTATTTATCTTTTCCATCACTTCAGTCAGCCACTGACGAAGACTATTTCTATACAATTTTATCCCACTACTTAGCAGCTTTTTTTCGTCGTGATTTCAGGAAAGTCATTCAATGAATAGTCTTCACTATCAATTGTTTTCTTTCACCAATGAGAAAGTGACCATATGATGTCTACGATATGTCGCCGCTATCTCTTTCACACCTGGAGTAATCCCTCAATACTTTTATCAAATCCAATTTAAAACGACCACTTAAGTCTGGCCCAGAAACCTCTATCACTAAGTTTGCACATGCGAAACCCAACGGGCAGCCAATCAATACCTGAACATTGACAATGAATCGCAAGTATGGCTGACAGTTATTCTGATAAATTTGCATTCGGGAACCAATGTATATGATTTATTTTAGCAAGAAAAACAATTAAAAAGATTTCGATTTTGAAATAGTGTAATTTTATTAGAAAATATATTAATGCATTTCCATCATAGTACACTTCAATTAAATTACTATTTTTCGTGCAAATATACTTCAAGTCCTAATTTTTGGTTCCATCCCCGGCTTATCGTAAACAAAAAAAAAAGAAGGGCTCTTCAAGCTGTAGTCAATATAAAAATAAAAGCATTTCTGTTTGGCGGACTTATTTTATGCTTATTCAGATATCTGCTGACTTTGTTTAATGAATTACTAAAGCTATCACATATAAAATATGGACAGAGGGGCCAACACTCTAAATGAACCTTTGGGCTCATGCTTAACACTGAAAGGTTTCCCTAGATCCGATTGCATGATCTAAAATACCTGAGCAGTTATGTTTTATGTGTCACAGTAGCGCAATCTGAATGCGACGACATGTCGCTCGCACATCGTCTAAATGATGATTGTTAGGATTTCACTACAGTAGGACATAATAATGGGGAGCACTCACCATACCGTATACGAGCAGCCGCCCTCAAATGTTGCATGAGTGAATGAGTGAAAATCGATGATGCTCTCCTCTACTGGATGTGCAATAAAGGCGGGAAGAAAAGGATAGCAGAATGGAATGGCTCTGAGGATAACAGAATGAAATGGCTACGTACGTGACTTTTGTAAGAATGGAGCAAGCAATATCCATTTCAAATCTAGAGGGCGCGAAAGGAGAAGAGTGCAATGGATGACGAAGTAGAGGGACGGAGGGAAGTGTGAAACTGTCTTCCGTCTTTTTCTCAGCCAGGTTGCGTGGGGTGTTTATTCTATAGCTGCTACTCTGAATCGCTAATTTAGGGAATTCATATTGATACATGTCTAAACACACATAAACAATGCGCAGACATATCTAACTACATCACTGGACACACATAAACACGAAAATACAATCGCACTCTACCTGCTCATAAAGCAAAACTTAGCATAAAGGTACACGTGAGTACAGCTAAACAGTAAGATATGCAAATGAGAGTAAATGCATAAATACACACAAAACTTATAGACACAGCATTCACAGTAGAATTCGTTGGGAACGGTTGGACTTACATTTAGTATGCTGCGAGTACGACTACGTATGGGAGGAGTGTGTTTCTTGCTTTCTTTCATTTTTTTTTTACCCCTTAAATAATACAAACAAGATTCAAACATGAAATAAAAAAGATCCCTTAGCTAAAGTCGTGGGTAAAATTTCGCACAAAATTTTCCACAATCTTGAAGATAGTCTCGGAAAAAAGTTGGATAAAATCTCAGGCGGAATTTCCTGGACAGAAACTTGGAAGGGGATGAAATTATAGCTAGGGAGTTTCAAATAAAATTTGGACAATATCTTAAAATATCGAACAAGATCTCAGGCAGATTGTTGGATAACCTAATTTATGGAACTAGTTTTTTCCTCAAACTTATCCGTCAAATGAGTTGGAAATTTAAATTACTGATATCTATGTATCCTTAGGCTTCATTCTCTCTTATATACTGATTTTTAACAAAATTAATGCATTAGCTGGACCAGTGACACCGGTTAGGTGGCTTCCTTCTCTGCTCATGGTAGTTTTAAAAAATCTTTCAAACAATTCCATAAAAGTGTTTATGCAGACTAAATTTTAACACTGAGCATCGTAGGTCTTCTCGAAGATTGTGATACATAGCCGGATCTGGCCCATTGCCGTATTGCACTGAATTATTTATGCTCCTGCCTTTGAGTAGTATATATCTATCAACTACTAAAATACATTAATTTTCTTAAAAAAAATCATTTTATTCCTATGAATAAGACAAGAAGTTTCGATGCATTCTTCATGGTACTGTAAGTCGACAACATCAAAGTCAATTATCCAACAGTAATTAGTAACATTTGAGAAACTAACACTACCCACCCAATCCATACTTCGCAAATGGTTTGATTTCTTAACACTCGCCTTTTCCAGTCCTCTATTCATTTTTCTCTGAAACCAATTCTGAATTTGTCCATTTACATCTTCCCTTGATTTTTCGCGCAAACACTTTAACTGTAAACACTGTCTACGTCGCCTGACCACCACCGTGTCTTCTATGTCTATATATTGTTCGTTCGGCCGGACCGCATATTACTCGGTCTGGAAATTGAATACCAATTCAAGAACTAGTTGAAGCATATATCCAAGAATATCTATTGTTCCGTAATTCTTGTCATCTTATTTTATCATATTCTCTGTTCATATTTATTTAACGGCATTCTGCAGTATTTTCTGATTGTTAGTATTCTTTTTTTCAATTATTTAATCACACTTCGTCATTTCTATGATATTTCTGCCACCACAGCGGTGAACTGATAGGGGTAGCGTAGAATCCATGTGTAAGTGGCGCTGTCCTCAAGATGAGAGTATTGATTTTGAATTTTCTATATTTCTATGTTTTGATGATTGTGATTTCTTCAAATCGAATTATTGATTGATCATAGGCTCGATCAATGGCTGCTGTTGGCAAGCGGCATTCTGGACATTTCACAACGTAAGTTTTTGGATTCTTTTCCACACTCCCACATACATGTTTCCTTTCAAAGAATTTGGAAACACTGTGAACCTAATTTTTCAGTTTTCTGAAACAGCATGGAATTGAATTCATAAAGCTGATATGCAGAAGTTCCACTAACAGCTGCCGAAGATTCTCATTTTATTTATTATTTTCCAGGAATGCCGGGGAAAGTAATGCATCGTCAAAAAGAGGATCGATTGATAACTGGAGTAAGTTTTGCGATTATTTTTCTTTCGTGTGGCTGCCGTTGGTTTACATAATTGTATCAAAGTTACCAAATTTGCATAATGTTTGGTATGGTTCATCTGATTGGCTTCCTTCCTGAAGTTTTTACAAAGCTCTTCAGCACCATCTGGATCACTCGCGCAACACAGTGTGTTGTCCTTTGGTAATGTGAGTTTCAGTGCATCATTTTTTAGATGTGGAATCAGATGCGGCATTATTGCACAAAAGACCAAGAACTGCAGTAAAATGTTTTGAGACTGATTCTTCCAATGCTGAACTGGGTTGCGAAGATGGTGTTGCAACGCAAACAATGAACAAAAAGGGAGAAATCATTGGAGAACGTATTATAATGCCACATAGTTGGGTTTTTTTTCCAATCCGGGCTCCGTAAGACTGCATGCAAGCAGTTTGTAATGAATTTGATTAAACCGTTTTAGTTTTAATAATCTAGAATTACACAGCAACAACTCTTTATGAAAAAGGTAGCTGAAAAAAAACTGGATGGATGTGGGATGTGTATGAAACTGTGATTCGTTGTTATTATTGACAATCTTATTTAGGATCGGTTCGTGGTGGTTCGAATTTGAAGGAAAAAATTTCTGTGAAATCAAGTGAATATTTAACCAATATTGGAAATAATTCATTGTTTCTTATTTTTATTATCTGCTTACATATTCTTCTTTCTACTTTTTCGAACAAACAGAGATAATTCCAGTTCCTCAGAACCCCTTTCTTTTGAAATATTATTTTCAGATGTTACGGATTTTTGTGAGCCGTTTCCGGTATATTATTGTTACGTTTCAGGTAGTAATGCGAAAAGCGAAATTGTAGTATCTGATCGCTATAATGAGCCTAAGAAATACAAACATTTTCGAGAAATGGTGGAAACATCCTGTAATCTGATGAACTGGCGTTTACAGGTGCTATGAAATATTTCATATATTTATATATTTGCAGTAAATTTTCAATAGAATCCTAGTTGAGCGAAAAACATTACTGAAGCAGAGGAGTAAGATACCATTTTTGATTACAATGCTTTCAAGATAAGAATTATTATACTAGTGGGATGATAGTCTGAATTTTTGTTGATGAGTCTACTTAAAAAATTTTAAAATTGAAGAAAAAAAGTTTAGGAAAAACCATGCGCAATTTCCTCGTATGATCCTTGTATTATTTGCGCTACTAAACCGGATAAAAAGACCATAGATTGTCGTTTCCATAACCGCATGTTGTAAGTTTTTCACTCTGATTTATGGAAATTACAGTTGTGTCATTGTATTTCATCATTGTAAGTCCCTTTTCTGCACGTCACTTGCTACTATTTTTTGCATGTCAGATTTAAACGGAAAAAATGCATTCGATTTTTTTTTGGTCATGAAAAAATTTTTATATGCGAAATTTTTTGGAGAGATTTATGCCGAAATTTTTTTTCGTTATATTTTTAGACGTGATCGTAACAACCCCAAATTGCGCCGCCACCTTTTGATTAGCGATATCGAAAAAATTAAGTCATCATTACTGGATGAAGTAAACGCTCGCATGGAACAATTCATCGATGAGAAGTTTACTACTGGTTTGATCATTATATACTGGTAGTCTCCAAAAAAGACAAAAAAGAAGAATGATTTAGGACCTTTTCGAGTGTTTGTGGATCGGTGAGATAGTTACCCTCAGCTATTGGTCATGTATGTTTCATTTTTGCTCGTTCTTGTTTGTGGATTTGTGAAAAGAAAAGGAATTTTTAGGCAAACCAAAGGAAAAGGCGGAAGCGGCTCAAATGGCTGCGTATGTTCTACAGTGTGTATATTCAAATTACGAAAAAGTGGTACATCGTGAAGAAGAAGCTGTTTCAGCCTTTTCTGGTAAGTTTACCCAATTTCTGAAAAAATGTTCTGGATAATAAGTTGAAAATTTAATAACTCTGCACGATTGGTTTTCAACGGGCACTATTTATTTATCATACTTCAAATTATACTATGTTATATACGACATTTGGGATCCATTTAAATGAGCTGGAAATACTGCTGATAAAGAATTTCTTGAATTCTGCTTATGAATTTGTGGATTTTTAAGCAGGCACATGAAAAGTTTTAGCAAATTATTTTAATAAAGGGATATATTGTTATATCAACCATCACTTTCTCTGACTTATTTTAGCTATTTAGACTGGTAGTCGGCTAGCGCAACACACCGTATGGTGACTTAGATGCACACCTCTCAATAGAGGATGAAGTTATCAGCCGTTAAAATGTTATGTTTAGGCATTTTTGGCGTAGAATGTTAGTAGTTTAAGCAGCTTGACTTTAGCCGATCAGCAAATAGTGACTTTTTTTTATTTTTCGAAGTTTTCGAATAGGTGCTTCAACATTATCAGACCGCAGCCAACGACGTGGCACTATGAAATTTCGAGATCTCATAGGTGCTGTTGAGCCCTTTTTTTCTATGTGATATTTCATTGTAGAAAGAGAAGCATACTACAATCATGCGTTTGGTGCGAAACAAATATGTGACGCATGTCGTTTTGCCATCTTAAATGCTCATTTTTGCTGTAGAATTTGTGGATCGGAACTGTGCATAACATGCTATAAAGAACTGAATGGAATAGGTATATCCAATGCTTTTTGTTGTGTTTCGTTTTATTTATCATAAGAATTCAACAGACTATTTATGAAGGAGAAACTCCACGCATTACTAAGTTCTATACAGAGAAAGATTTCTTTGGAAGTAAAGTGTGGGCGTTCTCTAAATTTAAATAGATATGTTTGAATATTTCTTTGATCGGTACATTTCTTTACATTTCTTTAAGTAAATTTCAATAAGTCAATAAGTTCATCAAAATCTGTACATTAGTAACGTAATCGTTACTAATATACAGAGAGAGTTATATAAGATTTCTTATGGAAACAAAACGGGAGCGTTCTCTAAAAAATGTTTTAGTGTAAAACAATTATTACAAAGCGTTTCGGTGTAAATACCAGCTTCACATGGTTGGTTAAATTATAAACTGTGATAGGTCTCTTTAACAATTTTGCTTGTATGACATTTTAATTAATTGAAGTGGTTAGTGTTACTTTGCGAGCTTTAGCTGATTCTGCACTTCAAGTTAAACAGGTGGGTTAACTATTCAAATATATATGACAGCAAAAGAAATGAAAAACATTTAGTAATGGCTCCATGAGAAATGAATTAGCAAATGAAGGACGAAAAATAGAATCGTGCAAGACCTGATATACAAATGATTCTCATGTAAATGATTTGCAAATCTGGTATTATAGTCTTCTGTTGAGTATTAATTTGCATGCTGGAAAACTAGGGTAGCTTAAACTGTGAATTCAGTTGTTGCGTGTAATGAGAGTAGGTGCGATTGTTGGAAGAGCGATTAATGGACAAATCGATTAAAAGTAGATTATACAGTTCTTAGCATAGCAGCTCATGTAATTTTGGTAACGGTCTGAAATAACTTTGATTATATTGGCAATTATACGACATCAGTTTCTTTATTTATTTTGTGTCATGAGTTAAATCTAAGGGTTAAAGGGATGGAATCATTTGTCCCTTTAACTCGCTCTTTTGACTCGCTCTTTGATTTGTCTAACATCACTAGGAGAAAAATTTGTTTGTAATGTAGAAATGGTTCGAATTTAATCTTTGCGGAGTTCGGATAACCATTACACAAGATGTGCATACGCGAAAGATTTTGCTAGGACGTAGTTAAAAGAGACTAACACAATACGAGCTGTCTACCTAACGCTACTTTATACAAATAGCGGAGTTTTAGCTGCATTAATTTTTGGCTATATAGTATCACTTAAATGGAACAACAGAGTGAGTGGAAGAACATAGATCCTTAATTAAAAGCGATTGAAGAGAATCTGTTCAAGCTCGCATTATTGGTTAGCTAAGGAATGGTAAATTTCATTAGGGTGTAAAATCCTTGAATAACTTTGAAAGCGTGGATTTTAGATTGTCATGGATATTTATCGAAATTTCCTTTGTTAGTAGTATCAAGTGCTTAAAATTTGATAAATTGGGAACCGAAAATACTTGTTGGGAAGAGAAAGGAATGTGGCTTCATCATGAAACAAAACCTAGACAAGAACAACTTAATGAGGCAAAAGGAAAACTTTCGGATAAATATGAAGCAAATATCGAAAGCTATCGAAAGATATGGAAAGGATATGATAACTTGCGGATAAATTGCATGGAAGGATTGGAAAAAGATATGATTCGGCTTCTTAAGCGCGAAATGCATGAAGTATTTTGTAAAATCTGGAAGAAAAGTGCTATGTGAATAATCAAAAATGGGGAAAAACGGGGGTTTTGCTGATTGAAATAAGCCGAAAAGTGGATGTGTATGCAAGAGTATGGCTGAAAAGTGCAGTTAATGGAAATAAAAATGTCGGAAGAGGGATACAAACTGTTCAACTAATTGGATATTTCACATATATTGTAAAGGGATAGTAGAAAACGAGTGCTGAAATGATTCGGTGCATATGAATATTGGATAAATCCATGCACATTTATTTGGTGCTGTGCTTTCTTTATTTGAAGTATGAATACTTAAATGGATTAGAATGTCAGCATACGATCATTAATCAACTTAATCGATAAAAAGTTATTTTGCGTTTAGTAATTGATAAAAACATTATAAGAAACGAAATATGAGATTCCAAGTTCTGTTGATTTTTCGGAAATCATTTACATCGTAAAGTTGCATTTTCAATTTCATCATTTTTTCTCTGAAAGACTTGCACAATTAACGCGAGTTCTTTCGCCATGCATCTGTCTCTACTGAAATTGTGACTACATCAAGAGATAAATAGGGATCCTTAATCAGTAGTGACTAATTTTAGTCTTTTCGTTCAGATATGTTCTCATAATTTAATAAATTCAGTCCTTTTTTTTTATTTTTCATACTCGACCTTATCACAGCTGCTATAAATTTGAAAACAAAGGAAGGATTATTTTCAGATTCTTACCCTCCGAATTGGTTAAAGTCACTTCCTTGTACAAATGGTCACCTTCATGATGCTGATATGTTTCACCTGGCATCATTTCTGCCTTCATTTGGTATTATTTCTTTTTCTCCGTTTCTCAAATAATATCGGACAGAAATCCGTTAATGAAAATATATAAAATTGATAGTAATAATTTGGCCTGATTTCTTGTCCGATATTTTATAGCAAATAAATCCTTGTTTACATCTTTACTTAGTAATTATAATTTACATATATTTTAAGACATTATTCGTGATACGCTTTACCGATCGATGGAGCAGTTAGTACGGTACGGTATTAAGAAGGATGGTGCTTTATGCAATGGTAATCATGGACGAGGCTATAATGTAAAATTGTTTCAGGAGGTTACCTCTTTTTTTATTACTAGTGGATATTTTAAATAAATTCGCTTTTGTATTTTCTACGGAAGGTCATTGTTATTAATGTAAGTGTCCATGATTTATCAAATACTGGAATCAGATTTACGGTTTTTATAATGAGGCTTCAGTTGTGAAATTTAATTTTGGCATTTATTTTAGGAAAAGTGTTATTGTCCTCGATTTTCGCCTCTGTCGAAATTTCCAATCGAAACAATTTGTGTTATTGAGGATCAGGCAAGAATTTTCCAGCATTTGTGCTCGCATTATTTCTCTTCTTGTTACACATGGACTTTTATCACATATCCATCAATGATCATACTGTCTTTGTTGAATTTTTCAATTTTTTCTTTGACACGTATAATTGTAGTTCACACCGAATGCGTACGCGCGTTTTAAAACCCAGTTAACTGCACACAATCCCGTTATAGTCGAAAATGTGAATCGTCATCCTCGTTACCGTCGAGCACTGTGGACTCAAGAAGCATTTGAAAAAATTATGGCTTGTTAGTTTTATTTTCCTGTTTAAAGATTTCTTTAAATTTCTTCATTGTTAGAAACATTTATATAATAACTTGTTACCGTCAAATTGCATAATGCTTCATGACAAGTTTTCTAATATTAGTGGTTCAGAAATTAGAAATGCAGTGTTTAAACACCTATCCATGTAGTAGTTTTTCTTTATTGATGAAGCTTATTCATTGAGTTCCAAAAAAATACATCAGTTTCAAGAGGTTTGCAGGTGATCGAAATGTATCTATTCTGGATAGTGAGAACTTTTCACCTGTAATGATCCGTGACAAACCATGCTCACTGAAAATTTTCTGGTCGAAATTTGGATTAAAACGAGGCAAGGGTGACTCTTATATGAAGGTGAGACTGTTAGAAGCTAATGCTTAAATTGCGGAAAAAATTTTTAAACTTATTGTCATAGTGTGTCTCTCTTGAAAGCCATTCTTCCAAATTTAATATCATTGTATTCGTTTCATCTTTCTGAAATTTACATTTCTTATATCCTATTTTTCAGATAAAAGATTTTCCAGAATCAAAACTATTTTCTAATATCGCTCCTGAACAGTATGTAAATTTGTATGAGATTATGCCTTTCCTGGATTACACACATGTTAATCGCGAGGAAAGTGGCCGTGGCAGATTGAACTTGCTGAACTTATTCAATGATAAACGTGACCGACCAGATCCGGGACCAAAAGTCTACATTTGTTTCGGTAAGTTTTACTCTATCTTTTGAAATACTTTTTTTAAAACCCCTTATAATTTCTATGTTTGTGACCTTTTTTATCGCTTACCAAAATGTTTCTTTCATCTGTTTGCCAAAAAATTGATGTGAACGTTTCTGTAGGATTATGTAATGCTCTTCATTTGGCTTCTACTCCATTACATCTGGATGTATCTGATGCAGTGAATTTCTTACCATTTGTTAAAGCACCGGATGAAATGTCAAGAGAGGAAGTGAGAAATGGTATGTTTTAAATACCGATGTATTAAAAAAGAAGTTTCCTTACTTATGTTGTAGTATCTATCAGTATTAGCCGATTCTAAAGTAATAATTTTTTGTAGGGTTTAATTTTGCGGGCTTTTCATGTTTTGGATTCGGATTAGAATTACATGGAACTTCCTATTAATGTTACTGTTGATAACACAAGATAATCTGAAGGCTAGATTGTTTTAGCTGTTGAACAACGCTTGGATGCAGAGGGTATCCATGGGTATCACAGGGAGCGTGCTCTTCGCGAGCCGGAGAAAGCTGGTGCTATCTGGAAAATATTTCATCCCAGTGATAATACGAGAATCCGTGCTGCTATTGAGGAATGGAAGGAAATGAAAGTGCGATTATTTTAAAATTTCATCAATTTGAATTTGTTTAATGTTAATAATATAAATATTATACAATTCTTAGGGGGAAAAATGGAAAGGTGATGTTATTCACAACCAAGACGTAGTGGTAACGCGTGAAATGATGGATTTTTTCGAAGAAAGAGGTTTGTTTCAACTTTTTAGCCAGCAGTTTTATAAATATTATTTTATTTCTTGGATCTATTTAAAACGAGGAACACTTCTCGTTAAGCAGTTCATATTAGTTACCGATCTCGAAATTTCGCTGTAGGAATCGAATGCCGTATGTTTGTACAAAATGAAGGCGATGTTGTATTTATACCTTCCGGAGCAGCCCATCAGGTTCAGAATATCAATTCATGCATCAAGGTATATTTTCGAATCTTCTATTGTTTTGTTCCTGGTGACATTTTGCTAAGTTTAAATTAAAGCAAATTTGTGAATACAATTATTTTTAAAGATTGCCGCAGATTTTGTTACTGGAGAAGGCATTGATTGTACAGTAGCAGTCACTAATGAATTGCGATTTCTGCGAATTAAAGATGATCTTGTGCAGGTAGATAAAACTTTATATTTCTCTTGTTTCTCTGGGTATTTGGAAGAACTTTATTTTTTGTTTTATTTTTCAAAGTTCCTCATCAAGCTCTTTCATTAAATAACTGAAGACTGCGCAAACCTGCACATCTTATTTTCTTCAAAATGATGGTCTCAAAAATGTCAGGTAGACAAATTACTGCATTTTGCGTGTGATGCGGCTGCGGCTGTACTGCAAAACAACGAACCAGGACTAGTGACATCGAGTCTTCCCCAATAATGCAATATGGAAACATTCATAATATACTTGGCCCATACGCAAATCTTAGATCTCTTCAAAAGCTTATTTTGACTGTACATGAAAGAGAATCTCTATAATGATGAGATATGGAGTTTTATATGTATATAATGAAATGTGAATTTTCTGTGCCATTATAAATTCTGTGCACGAAATCTTATTTAAAAAAAAAATCCTTATAAAGAGGTGCTTTCTCATGTGTTGAAAAACATAATAGGTAAACATGTAAATCACACAAATGAAGCTGTGTGTATTTTAAGGCAAAACTGATTCGTAACAAATATCTCTGAATTCATCACACGGCATCCACCTAGTTGGATCGTTTCAATTTTCATAGTATTTCGGAAGCACATTTCAGATTTTTTGTTGGAATAACGTATGTTATCTATGTTTCCAAATGTTAAGTTTGTGATAGGTGACATGTTTTCCACTACTATGGTGACGGAAAGGAAAGATTTCTTGGACGATGGTTGTAATAAGAACCTTCGTAATGGCCCTCCCACAGACAAGAATATTAATACTTGATGTATAACTTTTTTGGATTTTTTCAATTTCCAAGAGGAAATAATTTTTATTGCCAATGTTGAGAATCTGATGGCAATTTCCTCAGAAATTTTCTCAGATTCTTTGAAAATTCTCAGAAAATTCATGAAAAATCGGACAACAATTAATAATGATGTGTAACGGAACGATTCAGTTCTGTGAATTTGTAATTCTCACAAATTCAGTTCATCTGAATTTGCAATTCTCGCAAGCATAAATACAGGAATCATTTATTTATTTCATGATAATTTAAATGCAGTCCCATCTGAAACTTGTCTGACCTGATAAATATTAAATCAACAGATTACATTGGAAATCTCACTAATAATCACATAAGAATTACAAAGATTGAAACTGAACAAAAAGAAAAGGATAAATGGCAAAAAAACTGATGAAGTGGTATAATTAAATTATTACTTAACGTAACAATATGCAATATCTGCAAAAATTGACTTTAATGCCAAGAAAAAAAGTAATCGGATGTTTGCAGAATAATTCTACCATTTTCTTAACATTTACATCACTATTTCCCATCCTTACTGTACACTGCATAAAAACATAAATATATAATGGATTAGCAAGTAAAAAAGCTACCATAACAAATATGCTTATGACAATTCGTTTTTGAGCTGAAATGATTATAAGACAAACGAATAAAATCAAAATTTTAAAAAGAAGTAATCATATTAGACTTAATAACTGATACTGAATAAAACATTTAATTGCTGCTAATCAAACCGTACTTCGATTTAACTTATAGTTATAGATCAGTTTTGGTTGCTCCAACAACCTTCATAAAAGCTGTAATAAAATCGGATGGAGTGTGATTACCACTGTAATCATGCTGAACACCGTTAATAAATATCCGGAAAGTCGGGTAGTCTTTCACGTTATGTTTCTCACAAAGATCTGAAATTTGAGAAATTTTGACTAAGAATCTTGTGATTCAAGAAATTCTATTCAACTTTCTTATATATCAAATCGAGAAACTACCAACTATAAGAATGAAGTTTCAATGCATGTTCCTTAAGTGCATTATGTATGTGTTCTGTTTTTACTAATTTATGCTAGTTGTATTATCAATATATTTTACGGCAGTTTTTGAATAAAAAATCACAAAAATTAGTGCCTATGAAATTTTCATTCAGCACTATCAAGAACAACCAAAACAAATAGTAAACGATACCATTCCAAGCAGTGCAATCGACTACAGCGAACTTGCCGAACTGAAATTGTTCCGCAGCTTCGCGGAATGCTGGTTTTACTGCTTTGCAATGTTCACACCCTAACATACAAGAAAAATTGCATGAAAAAGTGACCTATTTTGCGACAGCACAAAATTTTTTATAAAGATCCTTAAAAACTAAGGAACTTATCCTTTACCTTTCTGATGCAAGATTTTGTCTTACTTAGTTGCGTACTGCCATTAGTAAACATCAATACTAAACAAACTTACACGACAAGAAGAACATCACAAAAACATTTCCGCTGTTGATAACCTTATCGAAATTGTTCTCATCGAGTGTTGTCACTAAATTTCCAAAGTCAAATTCGGGAACAAAACTTTGTGATCTAAAAAAGAAACAACAATGTTTTGCTGAATAAAAAAAATGCTGAACTGCTTTAGATGTCAAAAAACAATGAAAAAATAAAACCTCAAAATGATAAAGCATTAATTGGCAAAAACAATTCTTCAATTCTATTTACGAGGAAAAAACTATCAATGATACTAAGCATTAAACTTAATAATGACTGCTTCTTTCAATTTACCATAACGAAACAATCTAAAATAGATCTTTATGTCATAAAATGGACATTTTTACCCCATCATATAGTGTCGTCTCCAAGAATTTTCAAAAACTCAGTAGCATGACAGAAACGTAGCAACTTAAATCATTTCAAACACAATCTTTGGCAAAACAGTAAGCTTACTTTGAAATTTGTCCGCCGTTTTCTACAAAAGTAATGAATGATGCAGTTTCATGTTTGCCAGTATAATCGATACGATTTTTGCCATAGGACAGATAAATGATTGTTGGAAATCCCTGAACACAATGTGTTTTAAAAAGATCAATAATAGACCGGAGATTCAGGAAATTAGCGGTTCTCATATTTCACTTTCGACAAAGCCTTCACTTGACATTACTTTTTCTAGAATTATTCGATAAGTGGATCAAAGCTTTTAAATTAGTTTATTGTTACCCGTACTGGTTTTATAAGCCAATTCACTATTATTCACAACACCATTTTCTGCTTTTACAAAATAAACTTACAAGCCATCAAAGAAAGAAACAACAAAGCCCTAGCGACATAATATAACTTCGTCAAGAAATAAATGAACTAAAAAAAATATAATGAAGATCAGAAGTTATCAAAATTTACACCACTATCAACGTTCCAAAAACCAGTAAATTCTAACCTTTATTTTATACTCCTGACATAAAGACTTTTCAACTGTACAATCCACAGCGCAGAAAACAGTCCTTGAATCAGCAGCAAGTATTCTAGATGCTTCAAAAAATTTAGGCTTTGCTCGTTTGCAGTAACTACACCCTTAAAAAATGAATTGTTTATATCTATTTCCTTTCCGTCAACACAGCTTAACACAGCGCCTCACCAGGAATGTAAAAACAAGATAAACATCACCGTTCATCGTTTTTTCTAAGTTGGATAACGTCAACAAAGGAACCACACAGTTCTGTCAAGTTATCAACAGTTTGAACAATTGAATGAATTGCTTATATAGGTAAGCTTTGTTGTAGGAAAATGGGAGTGAAGAATCTACACAGGATGTTCGAAACTATCTAAAACACCAAATAGGGATCTTGTAAGAATGAATCATTCTTGCCAAAACTCGGTCTTATTCACTGTACATCAAAAATGCATTGTTAAAACTTGCACAAAATATTCAGAAGCGGTACTGATGTGCTTACGAAACTTACACTTACAAGGAGCATAAAATATTATCAAAGCATGCTTTTTCTTCTTAACTTCAGCCTTGAAATTCTCTGCTGTTAGATGCAATACATGCACTCCATCAGACTGTTTACTCCATGAAAGGTCGGGGGGAGGAGACTCCACTGGACTGCAACAACAATAATAGTATAATCTGTCAACTGATAAGAGAACTTTGAATCGTTAATAGATACTTTCGTGATAAAAAAATTCTATACATACTTTTTCATGAAATTGTAAAAACCATCTTCTTTGCGCTCATTAATTTTCCACGCAAACTTTCCATCCTTGAAGTATGCAAAGGTGGGATATCCCTCTACCTTGTGTCGTTCTGCTATCTGCCTGAAAAATATGAAAAAATAAGCGGATATAAGAGCACATCATCTAAATAAAGCAATTATGACTACTGAAGCAAGGCGAAACACATCCTCACAAGTAGGGAAACAAACTTTCGTCAGTCAATTTTATAGCATTCATCAACTATTTTGAGTAAAAAAAGCAAATCCTATATGAAAAGCAGAATGAATATTTCGATTTTTTAATGCTAAGTTAGAAATACCTTCTTAGAGCAACAGAGAAAAAGTAAACTATACTTATTGATTGTTGCATCGACAGCAGCCAAAACACCATTAATACCATCTTTTTTCAAACGCTCCGCTGCTCGAATGAATTCTGGCTTCACAATCTTGCAGTGGCTGCACCCGAAAATAGAAAATTTGGGAAAACTGCTTAATAAATATAAAATTAAAACTATAAAAGAACTCTCATCATTGCTACTCTCTTACAATTTTAATAATTGCTTTTCAAGATAGTCAAACTTGGCTTAACCATCTCATCATTAATACCATCTTTTTTCAAACGCTCCGCTATTCATAGAAATAACAACGGTGGAGAACTCAGTATGCAATTCTGTCACTATTGTTAGATTGACAATTCTAGTAATATTGAAAAAAAAATTTTTTGCATGTATTTAAAGTTTCCTAAATACTTACACTACTCAAAAAGTGAATAATTGGCAGTAGGTGTGTTAATGAATCTGGCTTGATATTAATGAAATAAACAAACAGGGGGCATAGAGAAAGACCAGAACACTTCGATGTTTCGCAATAAATTCATCAAATGTATTCTCATTTAAAAGAACCACTTCGGTAATGGTATCACTCCACGAAATTTCTTCCTCTTCAAGTGAAGGAGATATTATTTGTTCTATCGGATTTTTAAGCCATTCAATTATACCATTCTGAAATATTGCTAATGCGTATAGACATATACTTCAAAATTCGTTGAAATTATTCATTTTAAAACCGATAGCAATTTCACCTACCTTTGAATTTTGTCCTTTGTATCTAAATTTATGCACGCCACCCTCAAAATATTCAAGTGTTGGATAACCATCAATGTTAAACTGTTTTGCGATAACTTCGTTGCCATGGTGTGTTAAATCCATACCCGCCAGTATTATCTTTCCTTTCAACTCATCTGCTGCAGCACTGCAAGCAATACCATCGAAGAATTACACGTGTGCAGCGGTAGTTCTGTATGCTGCATAATACTTGCAACCATACTGTCCATTATTAGTTAATAAATAATAAAGTCTGCATAATCAACAACCTTTGCGCATATAAAAAACACATCTTAAAAACAAAAAATCGAGTTAAGCTTCCCTTGATTAAAAAAAGAACTCGCATACCTAAATTCGGGTTTCAAACGTTTACAGAAGCCGCACCAAGGAGCATAAAACATGACGAGTACGGCTTTTCCACCACTGACTGTTTTTCGAAGCGCATTAGGGTCATCTGAAATATTTTATGATCAAAGGAGTCTGAAGTTTCATCAGTGTGACAGTGAGATGAATAAAGCCAAAAATTACTGATGCAATATCCAACGTGATTCCCAACACTTATACTAAGCTGTTTAGATGATGAAGATTCCAGAATTTCAAATGAAAAACAGCAAAATTGAAGAAGCAAAATGGAAAAAAACGGGGAGCTCAAGAATACCCCCAATACATCTGATTATTCCTATACTGGTTTAATTATGATTTGTGTAGGTTTCGTTCATTATCACCTATACAAATCATAATTAAACCAATAAAATAATCTTTAAAACGAAGGAAAAAAAAACTAAAGAACTGTCACCTAGATGAACAACGTTAACAGCCGTAGGGTCTTCATCCCAAGGTATATCACCTGTTGGATCCAGCAAGAACCGATACATGCTTTTTGCATTCATCCTCCTATCATAGTCTTTGTGAAATTCTCCATCTCTGAAGTGACACTTTAGTTTACACTTAAATTAATGCCGAATTTAAATCCAAATTTAATATCTACTCAAGTAACTTAGTTCAACTCATTTCTTCTAATCCGTGTATACTCAAAGGTTTGAAAAACATGACATGTAAAGAGAAAAAATCGGAATGCATTTCGATAACCGTTAACAACAATGAAACCAGGTTCCAATACATCTACCCTCCCATTCTGTCGTATGGCATTTCAATCTATCTCACTTTGTAACAACGAAAAGAACTTACTGATAATGTTTCAGGATGTATGGTTTAGGGATTATTTTGAGCTTTTTACACAACTTTTTTATTTCACCATTGCTACAGTTAATTTGAGCAACAGTCCCTTGTCCTATTGCGTGTTTGGCAGCTTCTACTGTAGTTTCTATCACTTTTTTCATTTGGCTGCTTTTATCCATAGAAGAATTTAAAAATAATATCAGCACATTTTTATGTACTCGCAATAATTTCTGCAAAAAGAAAAAACTCCCACATGTTACGGAATAGTTATTTTACAACCTATAAAAATGAAAAGCACTCCTAAAGATATGTAATTGCAGGAATTACTGGCTAGAAATGAAGTATAAACCAAAATACGTCGGCATTACAGGAAAACCTGATTTTAGCAATGAAACAAACTGAATTACCTAACTAACCTTATAATTTTTTTGGTCATTGATGGTTACAATATAACCTCTTTCGGATGAAATATTTAACAGCAACGATGAAGCAACCAGTAACTATAAAAGTCGGTAAAGATTTTAAAGACCTTAAGAAATATTTAATAGCACGTTCATCATCTTTCTTAAGAACCTATTTACCTTGAAAAATTACGGCATATCATAAATGTTAACACCATCACTTTTCAACTTGGAACATTAGCAATTTCAAAATCATTTTAGTGATTGGATCAATTCATGAAGTGATATACAGGACAAAATCTAAATATGAAACTAAAGTAAAATATCGGAAACTGTCCTTACCAAGATGAACAGGGCAATAAGTGAATTCATATTGATCCGAGTATCATTACTGAAAAAAACTACGATAAAACGTCATGTGGGCATTCTTTCCAATCATTTTCCGCATTGTCGGGGAAGTATTAGAAACGCAAAAATCCAAATCCCAAACAAATAGTCCCATATATCTCAAAGATATTTATTAGAACCTTATACATATTTAGTATCTGTATTACCAAATAATCGCTGTATTTCTACTTTTACACTTGATTCCACATATGCATATTCGAAATTTAATAACTTGAATTACTCATAATAATAACCAGCAGTTAATAAAACCTGAAAACGTCAAGAGAAAAGAGACTTTCAAAAGCAAGAACACCGTAAAACAACAAAATCTAGGAGAAAAATGTGATATATAAAGTGAAACGAGAGATGAAAAATTCTGAAATAAAATATCCCGCCAAAAAACATAATAAATTACAGTCATATGAATATGATAGAATGAGACGTGAAAATGAGGAGACGGAGAAAGAATAATAATAATACCAGCTAATTACATGAAACGCAACTGAATACAACAATAAAGGCAAGAGTACAACTAAATACAAATAAAAGGTTAAACAAGCTACCTGAATTAATTAATACTATCGACACAGAGAAATAGATAAATCAGTAGTTAAAATTTTTTCTATTGAAACACAGATTTCAATTTTACATTTTCGTTGCAATGAACTCCTCGAAAAAGCGATAAATAAACAGAGCTCCGGTAACATGTACATTTAAGCTCTTAGTATGACCAATTTGCTGAACTTTACCAGTTTTGTCGAGATAACCTAGCAAATGAATGGGTATTCCTTCTTTTTTGTTCCTGTAATCAATATATTTTGGCTTCAAACCTGACATAAAAAGGTTCCAAATAATGATAAATTTTAAAAAACCACAACGTTTGAATTAATAGTAGAAATCTCCAAGCAGGAGAATCAAAGTCTCATCACTCAGCTTTGGCAAAATCCACGCAATTTTATCAAATTTAGACTTGTTCACTTTGTATAATTAAAATAAAAGACGCAAGCAAGAGAACCATTTTTGACGGTAAACGCATTTCATGTAATGGCATACTATTTGTCGTTTGTTCAGTAACAATAATCACATAGCCAAAATCACGGAAAGACAGTAAAAGGCTTGGCAACTCTTCTGGACGTGATTAAAATCAAAACCAATACATGGCACATCCGTTAAGAACAAGATATTTAATATAGCATATTTTCTACCTGTTCCAAATTCATCCAATTCTCTGACGACATGCTAAGCGCCACGTCCTTTATTTTCGAAAGATCTCCGATAACCAACTTTTCAACTCCCAACACTTCACGTGTACGACAAATACCTGGATTATTAACGAAAGAAGACCTGCATTCATTCAAAGCGAATTTGAATCGCAATGACGCGTAACACAAAAATTGACGCGTGAATATATGTTCTAATTGATCACTATTATAATACTTTACCTAATCTGGAGAAATCTAATTTGTACACATAAGTTACCTCCTAAATTTGCAATCTTGTCTAACAGTGAGGCAACCACAATGAGGGATACATCTTCATAGTACGCTCAATTTAGATTAATAGCGTTAAACTTGCGCAGAATGACTGATGTATCCAAAATATCGTTTGGCTTCTAAATCTGCTGTTCTCTCTACAGCTGAATTTGACTTGACGTCGTTGGAAATCAAATATATTATGAAATTATATAAAATAAATAACCAGAAATAACTAAACAACATTCCAACACCATAAATAAATAAATATCAAGGGATTCATAATTTGGCTGTAGATTTATCCGTATTTTAAATTTTACAAAATGCATTAAAATGTGATCTGAAAAACGCGAAATAATGGAGAATTCGTTGAAGTCGCAAAAACCATCTGCAAAGAACTCAATAGGAACGGGAAGTATAGAAAAAAGATAATTGATGAAAATTTATTTCCCTTTCCTCTGACCACAAACTAAATACGAAGGAAAGTATTTCGAATATTAAAAGGATGCTTTAAAATAATATATCAAACAAAATGACAAAAATTGTTTTTTGCCGCAAAAATGAAACAAGAATAAATGCAGTTAACCAAAAATGAAGGATGGATACAGACTTAAATTGTTCAAAGGATGAAATAATGTAAAGCATCGAATGAACGCAACCTGTTGAAAATTATTTACCGTAGAAATGTACAAGCTAAAAAACCTCAACTTGTAAAAACTTGTAAAAATCTTAGAAAGGGGGTTAAGCAAGATCTATCAGTTTCAGGTATTTGCTGTAGCAAAATCAATTCGGTCAAATTGCTCAATAGATATCACAAGACGAAGAATGATTTTGCTGGATTTCGAATCCTATCTAGATTCTTGCAAAAGAAACGGTTCAAATATTCAGATTAGAATGGAATATGTTCCTGACTCGATAAAAACATTCATTAATGTTGCTAAGGATTTTGAATTTGAAAAGTTATGCATGAGCAAAAAACCATATGCGCTGTATATAGTCAAAATTATGGAGGAACGGTTCTATCACATGAAACTGCAAAAATATTTCGAATATCGGAATCGTTCAAACTGTTTAGAAACTTACTTATTAATAAGTCGTTACATACCAATCCTTCTACTTAACTGACAGCTTCATTAGTTGCACAATCAATTAACGACAGAAGTCTTGACATAGTAATATGCAAATCAGATGCCCGAAGGTAATTGCTACACAGAAATATGATCAGTCAACAATTATCAGTAATACGACATAGGTTTCACCAACCCTTGATTCCAGAAAGTGAGGTCCTAACACAACAACCTCAACTACCTCTAGAACAGCTACCAAGATGAAATAATTTTTCCAAATAGTGCTGGTCTTCAACTCACACAAAGCAGACAGTGCAGCCTTTCGAACAAAACGACTTTGACCGTAACACATGAAACGGTGAACAATTTTTTCAATCTGAAACAGTTTTAAATGATATTTTCTAACAGTTACAATATAAAAAAAAGTTATAGAAGTAAGTCCAATCACTTTATATAAAAACTAAACTCGGTGAAAATAGTAGAATAAAGAGGGTTCGCAAAAGCTGAAATTTAAAGATCAGAGAAAATAAATGAACGCCCCTTACGAATGAGCAACGTAACGGATATCATAAAAACAAAGAAAAAATAAAATTAGTTCAGATCAGACATATTTATTGCTTCAACGACAGCTTTCGCGTCTGCAGAAATAAATATGACTACTTAATTGGATTTCGAGAGAATAGAAAAAATACGTGGTGGATATTGAAAAATTAAAATAGAAATCAGGTTCTGAAGAATTTTGCCAGAATAATGCAGTAAAATCTAACGCTTTCATTAAAAAAGATTAACTCTATCACTAAGATCTGGTAAGGCTTTTTTGCCATTGCAAAGAGAGCGGGTACCATCGTTTCCATTTTATCATCAACCGCACAGTTGAATAACCTAAAATGTAAAAAAGAATTATGGATTGGAAATCCATAAAGATGAATGAACGCTATCAAGACTCATATGGATATCTTCATTCATTATATCTCATAATGTAAAATCAATGTTTTCTACAGGTTAAAATCAAACGAAACATAGTGTAGAAATGACAAAGCTTCATCTTTCGAACAACATTTGCACATTTGAGTTACCAAATCTGAATTCTTCTGTTCAACAGCTGTCTTCATTCTTTGACTGCAACAAAAGTCATTCCTTTACTACATGGTAGTTAGATTTATATTACAACTACCAGCAACAGCATACAATACTTTGTTTCCAACAAGATTACAGGTTATAGAAAATTAATCATTTCATGACAGCTTCAAGCTGGTAAATCTAATAAAAGCATGAATAAAGCTCATTTTATAAATCTGACGGCAAAAAAGTCTTTTATACTTCTCAACTCATAAATCGGAATGTCTATTAATTACAAAAAATATTCAAAGTATTACTTTTTCAGTCCTTTTTAAACGTGTTATATCCAAAAATAAAGGTTTGCTACTATATGCTTACAAAACAACTGCAACTCACAGTAAATCGTGTTCGCATTTTTGTTCTTTTTCCAGATGTTCTCCAAACATTTCTGGAACAAAATATCCAAAATATTATGATCCTACATGAATCTGCAAATAGGGGAATAAAAAGAAAGTACAATGAAAGGGTTCATCAAATGCCATTCCTTTTATGAAATGTCATTGATTGTAACCATGAGATTTTATCATCCTGCATAATTTCGAAACAGACCGAAAAATTTAGTAGTACACAAAATTGTCATTAATTGTACAACTAAGAATGGGGATTCGAATGAGAAATTCCATGAGATTTTATCATCCCGCATAATTTCGAAACAGACCGAAAGATTTAGTAGTACACGAAATTTTTATGAATAAGAGTGAAAATGAGTATCAGTAATCTTTCTTACAAATCAAGAGTGTACAACAATTCCTATCTATGATGGTAATCTTTTTTTAATTTATATCTATTTTTCAACTGATAAATACACACTTGCCTAACAAAATCCGTACGATATTCTCCAAAATTTGCACAAATCGATAAGTTTATGATACCAACAAGGTGTACGCATTTGAAGAAGTAATGTCTAAACAACAACCTTCAAATCACGTAATCTAAAAATCTAAACTGCGGTGTTCTCAGTCTACGATTTTAATTCCCAAAATAAGTTTGCCGACCAGAGCAATGTTTAACAACAATCAGAAACTGATAATTGACGGCTGATTACGTTTGAAATTCAATGAACCAAGATCATACAACAGTCCCACTCACTCCTCCGGGTTCTCGGACAAATAGCTAATAAAACCTTTGGCTATGAGGTAACTGATTGATATCCCTATGTGGCTGCTCACACTTCTTCGTGCACGTTTTTGGCAAATGCAGAATAACGGAAGGAATCTACTATCTTCCACAAAATGCGCTAATCTTGCATGATATTTCTGCAGCAAGCTATCGCAACTGTTATCCCATCAGTTAATAAAATTCGAATTCTTAAAAGTGATGACTCATAGATGAGTGCTAAGGAATTTTACAAGTTAAATCGTTTTTTTTTTCCAAAAGACGAAATTTTATGAAACACCAATATCGGCACAAATAACAATCAAAATCACCGCTTACTACCAACTTACACACAAATCAACAATACGCAAGATGAAAGTAAACAATCATAATGTATTTATATTAAACAAAAATATGCGTAAAACGTATGTGTTCGCTGTTTACTATACCATAATCCAGCGATATGTCATTACAATGAATGGCTATTTGGTATTCAGAACTTCGCTTTTAAATTCCACATAACGTCAAAACCATTTCAGTCAAAAGAAAAAATATACTATAATGGCAATGCTAAGAAGTACATTAGATTTAGGCTTTTGTTAAGAAACCGATTAATAAAATTCTAGCTCATAATAATATTAATATAGTGATATATTCAGTTACCAAAACATGGACTATTATTTATTAAAGAACAGATATATATTCATGCATAACTATGCGGCCGGATAGGTTTCAATGGATCAAAGAGCTTGGGATCTCTGAGATACTTCGGATCCTTCACGAATACTGGCATGTAACCAGCACGACGACTTGAAGCAATTGTTTCAAGTAATCTTCTCTGTTGCCCATCACAAAGTCCAGTAATGTGTCTGAAAATGCAATCTCACATGATGAAACGAAGAAAAGGAAATAGTGCTTCACCTTTGATTTTTGAAAAAAAATGCAAGAAAAAGAAATTTACTGGTCATAAACTCTTCCGGAGAACGTTGAAACGAATTGCTGCAACAAGCGAGCATTTTTGTAATCCAGCTCAATTTTCTTCGCACATAAAAAACACTGTTTTGCCGGCTTACAGTACGGATCTTTCCGCATCTGCACCACTCCATCGTCGTCTTCCGTCGTGTAATGACCTGTCGCCGCTGCGGTACTAGACGACGATGACGCTCCACTCATTAGAATAAATGGTCTCAAATATGTTCTCAACAAGAGCATTCCTAAATTTGCAAAATACTAAAAAAAGCAGATAAAATCCGACCTCGGCCCCTCCCCCCGATATTATCAAAGTCAGTGATCCGTAATAAATTACACTTACTTGCTCCAAGTAAGCAAAGAATCAATCTGTTTAAAATAATTTTGAGGATAATTTTTAAAATGATTTTTTGGATATTCAAGCAACATTAACAGTAAAGAAACTGCACTTGAAGATAAAAAACATAAAAGAGAAACATAATATATCGATACTTTTTATTTCAAGCAACACGCATAATCATCAATATAATACAGTTAATATCGGCATACAACAAAAGTTTTCGAGATTTTAAAATCGCCACTATAGAAATTTCAGAAAAGTCAGAGTTGATTATAGTAAAAGCTATGTAAATATGTTATAACCGTGTATATTATCAAAAACCATCCAAAATTTCCGGGCTAAAGATTTCTTCCCCATATTCACATTGTAAGAATCTAAAAACATGAACTCGGAAAAATTTATTGGCATGAAAATAAAGCTTATGTTAGGGGACGCACTGAAAAGCTTGTACCAACAGAAAAACAAGAAATATTTTCACTCAATCATATCACCCTTCGCACCCAATCTTTGTGGATCTTGACTCGGATAATAAACTTTCGTCGCCGATGCTGGTATATACGACATTAGTCCTTTGTAAGGTACCTGAAATTAACAAAAGAAACTCAAGCTAAAGGGTGGGACATTCTGAGAATAAAACTGATCACATTTGGTCAGCTGCAATTAAATTAACAACACCAAACTATAAAAAAAATTTTATCAATGCAGGAAAAATGTTCCACCTGAGGTACAATAAGCTGTGCAGGAGGTGTGTACGCTGCAGCTGGAGGTAAAGGAGGCATCGGTATGTGATCAATACGTGCTCTCTTGGATGAATTCATTTCTTCATCGAATAAATCCGGTAATGGACATGCTGAAAATAACAAAGACTAGTGAAACAGGAAAATTTCATTTGTGATAAGATCTTTTTTTTCTCATCAATACTGAGAGACATCCACACTTGGAAATTTGGACTAAAATTCGATTTAGAAAACAATAAAGAAAAATATTTACGATTAGGGAGGCCTGCGACTGGTTCTGCTCTCTTCTTTTCTTCCTGTGTATTTTGTGCTTGTGGCCTGCCCCATCTTATTTTCAATCGTCTTCCTAAAACACCCAGTAATATTCGATACGGAATAGTTACTCTTCAATATGATACAGTGTAACTAAGCGAGTTGAGTTGCCACTAAAACAAAATACTAAAAAAAACACTACATGATAGAAAAAAAGGTCAAATTAAAAGAATATAAACAGCGATGTTTACCTTGCAAGATAAGTTTATTGAATGAACGTTCAGCAGCCTTTTCAGCAGCTAATCGCGTAGTAAATGATATGAACGCACATCCCTTGTTGGGCAACAAATTGAGGCTACGTATCTCACCGAACTGATAGAAATAATCCCTGCAAAAACTGTTTTGAAGGTAATTAATGAAAAAAAACGATTGGGTTCACTTCAATTTAGTTTAAAACTACCGAATATTAAATGTCACTGATAAGACCCGAAATTCAAATCCAACCAACCTTAAATCGACTTCACCTATAACTCCAGCTGGACCTAAATCACCAATATACAATGTAGTAATGGTAGTATCTTCTGGAGCTTGTAATACAGGCAGTGCTTTGGCACGAGTCAAAAGCTTCTCCGCAACTGGATCATTATTCCCATAATAACGATCCCGCATGTTTTGATGACTTAATGGGTCGTCAGGATCTGAAGGCTTTTCGTGCCTGAAATACTTCACGATTTCCTTAAATACCCACCGAAATTTCGAAACAGTTCACAGTAAGTAAAATACAGACCTATATGGACATTCTTCACCACGCCTGCATTCCCCCTTAACGAAGAATGAGCAAATGTGTGGTTTGTTTCGTTGATAATATGGTTGATTTCGGGCAAGTTTCTTCAGCAGATCATTTGATGCTATAAGAAATATCTGTTTATAAAACACCAGCTTTATTATAAGCTTAATTCTGTAAACTTGAGTCTGTTCTTCATAGATTACAGATACCATGGTTCGAAATCAAGAAAGTTCCAACAAAAAAATCAAAAAAGTGAGAAAACGAACCGGAATCAGTTATTTTAGCAAGAGCACCACCAGGTGTAGTGCCATCTGTAAGAGCCAATTCCCGTTCCTGATTTTGAATATAATAGTCGCGATTTGCGCCTTGTCTGGGCAAATCATCTTGTATTTGCAATGCATGATCACGAACTTGTACAGGTAAACCTAAAATTTTAGTTTAAAACTGCTGTTAAGTTATTGCAACAAATTTAGACTGCAATAGAAAATATTACCGAATTCGAGATCCAAAAGACACGTCTGACAAACATTCTTCATTTTAGCACACGTCTGACATACTTCCGTTTTCTTATACCGCATTCCTTTTCCAGGCATCCATCGGAAACAAGTGAAGGGGCGTTGACAAATTTTGCATTCCGCTCCATGTCGATCCTTCAGCTGAAAACCTAACCTTGAACCTACGGGTTAACTTACTTAAAGACATACTATGAAAACTATGAAATATTATGAAAACTTAATTCACATCGCCATTCACTAAATTAAGAGAATTCTTCTTACCATCCTTATGTACGGATTCGATCCGAGACATGTCTGGCAAAGGATTGGAAATTCCTGAAATAATGCATAAAGAAAATATTTTACGATCATTCCATAAAAATATATCTATTATTTTCATCTGGAATTTATCTATAAATTATAAGGCAAAAAGCATTGCAGTATGCTCTCCACATCGATCCTATCGTTTAAATTATAACAAACTCAGAAAAAAAAAGATAAGACTTGATATAAAGCAAAAATGCGTACCGAATCTTCCCACGTTTTCCGATTATACTGATACGATGATTTGGATAATGCCATACGGTATCCTACTCTACTAATTACTGAACCTTATTTTCGATATTTCCTGAAGAAAAACTGAGTTGAACTATGGTTATATAATCAACAAAGTAATAAATCTGAACATCGATAAGCAATAACCAAATACGGCCGAACTAATTTGGACCAAATGAAACAGTCCGAACTAAATAATTTAAAACCAATAAATCAAACTGTTAAAGCAATCAGTACAACTCGGATAGAATTACCACACACCTCTCACTCACCAACCTAATTGAGAAGTTAACCACCAGAACTAATTTTCATTGAGGACATTAGTTTCATATTGATCCCTAAGCGTGTAGGCTCACATTCATTATGCAAATTTCGAACCAGGCCAATGTTTAATATGGCTGAGTGGTTTCGTGAATTTGTTAGTTATGTTTGGCTTCGATGGTGTACATTTCTCACAGTATTAAATGTTACTCTTTTCATTTTAATTACTTTTTTACACATCTTTTCGGGCTGCTTTTTTTATTTTATTGACAGACGTTACCACTGGAAGCTTCTAAGCCTTCTGTTAGACAAAAAATCGGATTAAGCAGATTGTATTGGTGGTTTTTTTTGCGCACTTATTTAATTTTTTTTCCTTCCCGATGAATTTTTCTTTTTTCGGATGAGAAAAAATATATAGATATTATTTGCAAAAAAGATGAAGCGACAAGTTCAGATGGGATTAGCAGCCATCTGCAGTTGCTTTTGAAAAGCATCAAAATAATTTCGAGATTCAACATTATTTATGGTATGTAAATGAGATGGTACTATAAGTGTAAGTAAATTGTGAACTAATCTGATAGCAATATTCAGTTGTCGAAGCGCGTTGTAACTAGGCGGTCTACTCAGTTTGTTTCCACATTCATATTTCTAGTTGATGTGAATTTCTAATTAGCAGCTCGTATTTTTGATCCTTTTAAAGTGTTACAGGTTCACTGACATTACGTATAAGAGTACAGGGCAATTTAAGCTGTTGGAGATGTGCTTCAGTGCAACATGAATGATTAAATTTTTCTCTTATGAGATTTTTTTTCGAAATTTCTGAAGCGTATGTATCTTTGAATATTGAAATCCAAAATGTCAGCCTGTTCAGTTTCCAGTGTCATATCAATGCGAACTAAGATGACTGTTAAAAATAGTTTAAACTTGTCCGTTTATATTTCGAGTTCTCGCATATTTCAGGTGTAAGCGTGGAAAAGTCGATAGTCGATTCGGTTTCTTGGACTGCTACTCTGCCCTCAGGCAGATTATATGTGGTGCTCATTCAAATTGCTCAAAATTCTCACAAATTTTGGTCAGTTTTTAAAAAGCTGTAAAAAAGGCAGCAGCGACTTTAGAAGCATTTTCACAGAAGTTCGTAGTACATGATTAAATTTTTGAGAAAGTCATTGTTTAGACGGGAAAACACGGAAGGTGTTTATTGGCTTCTGCAAAGGCATCGAATGTATTTTAATTTTCTCAAAAATTTGATATGAAAATTAAAAAAAAAATAAAATCAGCAACAAGTCAAATGTGGGACCAATAAGGTCAAAGCAAGAATGTCATCATCTCTATTATCTTTCCTACCCGAATTTTGGTGCTTTTATGCATCTGCAGAAAATCGTTGATTTTATTTTTAATTTTCATATTTTTTAGGCAGTAAGATTGCACTCCAAATGGCTTCTGCATCAATTGGACTGGACGATGTAGCATCATCATCAGATGATCTTATGGATGAACAATCTCCTGCTTCGTTACATGCTGTGGTATAGCTTTCATTTAGAAGTTTTGGTGTAAACTTTTTCGAAAATAAATTTTAGGTTAGTGGAACAAATATGTCCGATATATCGGTCCATCAATCTACATCGGGAATGGATATTGAGCAGGAACAAGTAATACCAGATGAAGACAGACTAGATGTTGTTTTATCAAGAATGTGGATACGTTTGAACGTTGGTGGAACGGTTGGTTTCCCGTATCATTTTAATATACATGTAGGTGTTTCAGTAAATTTTGTGTAAGTCTTTGTTAAATGGATCCAAAAAATTATTGGGAAGCAGTGGTAGAGAGGGCCTTTGCTAATATTTGTCCACAAAGTGGAACTTGAACTGCAGTTAATTTGGAACTGGGAGAATATTACAGATTTTTCAAACTACTCGACAGACTTTATGTCGAGAAACGAATTCATTTTTGGCTCGTCTGTGTAAAGAAGACGACGAATTATCCAGTCAGAAAGTTTGTACTTTTCTCTTGATATTGGGATTTTAAACTTCCTATCACCATAGTTGAAAATACTAATAATCTTATCGACAAAACAATCAAATTACCCGGAAAAATACCGTTCATTCTTTCCCTCGTAAAAAATATAACTTGAAAAATGAGCTCAAAATTTACAAGTTGGTTTTGTTGTTACGATTTAAACCTTCTTTATTTTAGGATGGTACAGGTGCTATATTGATTGATCGTGATCCAGAATATTTTGCACCTGTGTTGAATTACTTACGGCACGGAAAACTTGTAGTAAACAAGAATGTGAGTATAGAAGGTAGGTATGTTGTAGTGATTTGACGGCAGTTGGTTATACACAAATCACAAATTATGACTTGATTACTAAAGGATGAGACAATGTTCACTTTGCAGGAGTTCTCGAAGAAGCAGAATTTTATAATTTACCTCGACTAATTCAGTTATGTACGGAACGATTAGCAGAATTTGGTCCGAAAAAGGCGAAGCAGGTTCGTGTTTAGTTGAACTCTGCTGAATGTTTGATGAAGTCTGAGAGCCTTTTATTTTCCAGAATCTTGGAGAATTTATACTCTAAGAGAGTTCAGAGTTGTTGAATAAAGTACTTCAGGAAAGCTGTCGCTAAAGAGTGATATTAGTGTAGGGTGACTAAAACCATTCTTGTTCATTCGATTTTAGGAAATTTTACTGAGAAAGTATAATTGTGAATGAAATTCGTTAATTTTTGCTAAATAATTGTGTTATAGACTAAACACGTTTATCGCGTCCTCCAGTGTCATGAAGAGGAATTGGCAAATGTTGTATCAGCAATGTCAGATGGTTGGAAATTAGTTCAGGTTCATGTCATATTTTGATCGATGTTGAATATAGCAAAAAATTTTGTAAATTGAGATCGCTCGGGAAGTCGCAATATTTGTTATGCAAGTACTATTTGTCAGCTGTTCATCGAGTAAAGCAGTACTTTAATGAATAAATGAACACCATTCATAATCTTGTATTTTTTTAGCTTATTCCCATCGGACAATTCCAGTATCAAAGCGACATGCAAAGTGAATTCCTTTGCGTCGTTTGTCGGGAATTTCCTGACAACGAAATCAAGAATGGAGAGCATACAGATCTCACTGATCGCGTTAAAGCTTTGCAACAAAAGGCTCGCCGTAAGTCAATAATCAGTAACTCATATAAATTGTAAATTTATTCTATTCATTTTTTCACTAGCCAGAATTTAGATATTAGTTTGATTTTCATTGTTAACCATTATTTTTGGTTGATTCCTTCAAAGTAAGAAATGTTTAAAGCTATGGACATTTAAATGATTCTGTGGTAGTTAATTTTACTGTAGCGATTTCTATTAGTTTTTAATTTGTGAAAATTTATTCCTATCAGTAATAATCTTTACAGACCACTAGTGCTGGAGGACGACTCTTTGTTTCGATTCAGGACAGCTTTTCCGCTCGTACTGCAATAGGAATTTTTTCATTTTATCTGTGCTTATAAGCAATCATTAATAGGCATTTAAATTAAGCTTTATAATATTTGTGTCTCCGACTGCCTTCTTCAAAAAAGCAGGTGTATAGTCACTGTCTAACGTACAGGTTTGTCATGATACAGCGGTTGAGGTACAATTATCAAGATAAGGTTAATACTTGTGGTAGGAAAAAATTTATTTTATAAATTAACGCTACTTGATTGAAATACAAAATGATTTCTTGCGGCATTGATTGCCGAACGCTGTATTGATTTTGTTCTTTTCTTTTCTTTTCTGGTGCCGTATATAGATATTATAGTGTTGTTTTTATTGATGGAGTATGTATGCATTTCATCCTTGCTTATATGCCTTTTAGTCGCTTTGGTTCATGAAACCTGACGTGGTCTTCAGTGACTAAACATTGTTGTCATTACAAAAGTGTTGGTCATAAATTCACGTTCACAGATATTCCTCACTTAAAAATTAACTGTCTGAACGTTTCAGTGGGGTTTGAAACGATAAGGTTTAATGTAATTCGTAATTTTCATCCAAAGGCGATTATATAGTTGAGCTTCGTGATGTAAACCGTTATTAAATTATTTTGTAGCCTTTATATCTCACTTCATGTATTCTTTCTTTTTTTTGAATTTCTTGTATGCACGGCCATTTTTGCGCTCAAGTTCTATTGTTTTTGTATTTTTTTTTGTTGCACATCAGATCATGGCGAATACCTTCATTTTCGCTTCTTGCTACTTTGAAGGTTAAAAAAGTTAATAGATAAAAGCTAGAGGGAGGAGAGAAGAAGGAAAATTTATGATTTTGTTTTGAAATTAGTTTTTGAATCAAAATTTTTGGTGTTTTCATGAATTCTTTATTTTCAGTCCATCTGTATTCATGCTTCTGATCAATTTTTTGATCTGTGCTTGAAAGAAGCGGTAGTTACATAAATTTTATTTGTTAAAATATATATCAAATATGTGAGAAAAATAGAGAAATCGAATAACCAGCAGGAATTTTACAAATTATTTACTTGAGTGAATGCTCAGGTAAAGAATATTTGTTTCAGAAATAACTTTTCCCAACTTTCATATGCTTAAAGCTGTGAATGAAATTTTATTGTCGATTGCTTGTTTTGACGATGCGTTTTCATAACCAGAAGTTCAGCGTCTGTTTAGTATGAAGCAGTTTTTTGAAGGGAAATCCTGCTAATTTGATGAAAATGCAAACAAATTTACGTCTGGAACAGACGCCTTTTATGTGCTCAGAGTTGATAGATATGGCATAAAATCATCGCGAATGTTTATGGTATCTGCCAATCGCCATTTTTTGTTACTTGTAATGATGTTTCTTTTCCTTTCTTCGTATTTCTCCAACAATAAAATAAAATGCAGAAAACGTTGTTTACGGTTATATATTACCACAGTTTTCGACAATAATGGCTTATCTCATATCCTTTCTATTGTTATCTAAGTTTATGAAATCTAATTTTTTTCATGAATCGTGCCAAGAAAGTTGATAGCATTACGCTTGAAATCGCTATTACGTTTATGTAGAGGTTTAGGAAAAGCTGGTCCGGTAGTATCCTTAATTAAGAAAAAGTGGATATAGAGTATTCCGGGACTTCTTCCTAGTTTTCGGCAACATTTCTGCGTTTTCTTCTAGTTTTCAAAACTTTAGTCTCAATTCTAACAAATTCATGGAAAGTCATTGCAAGTGTGAGACCTTCGTTTCTTAGGTGATGCTGTGTTTGGTTAATTTCGCAAAAGATCCAGAGTTGTGATATTGTTAAGTTTTTTAACCCATTTTTTTTTCATATTTCCGTATGAACATCACTTTTTTAACGTTTTAACGTAAATAAAACGTACACGCACGGAATTTGACGAAAGTGATTAGCAATTATTTTTGGAAAGAAATGCAAATGTTAATTTCATTTCAAATAAATTTATTTCTAGCTCAGGGGTAATAAACTGTTTTATTGGATTGGGTTGAGGTTTTTTTCATTCATTTTTGCCCTTCCATGATACACATGCAGAAACAGCGTGCTTGACTGCTCGCTTTTAAGTGAAAACTGGATTCATGTTTCTGTTTTTTAATTTAAAAATGAACGTAACAATGAAGAAAAAGGTTTTTATTCTCTTTGTTTTGAATGGTATTGCCGATTACTCCCAGTGAATTGGAAATTGAACATGGAAAAGTTTAGCGCAGAATATATGTACGGTCTAAGTGTCTTGGATAAAATAAGTGCAAAACTAAAAAATAAAAAATATGAATATAAGATGATGCAAATAAATTTGATGGTTTGATTCATTATAAGATAATCCGGATACATCCATTTCTTCATTAGTTATTTTATTTTTATACTTGTAATCGGTTCGTTATGTAATCGATTCAGTAAAATCATGCAGGTCACCATTATCTACTTTCATCATCCACTTGCTAAGGTTGTTTTTAATCATTTATCGTCATTCTTTCACTTTACGGTATTCGATTTCTCAACCTATTGGTAACAAGCTTGCATGAATGAATTTGTCGTCTTTTCATTCCTATCTTTGTAAAGCTCTTTTCTTCTTTTTTTTTCGAGCATCTAAAGGTTTCTTTTTTCCATGTCTCCTATAAGCATTCGCAATTGACGAACAAAAAAGTTAACAATTGATTTCTGTGCGGAAAAGGACATTCGAGAAGTTGTAAAATTTACTTTTTCTTTCCCATTTTGGCCCACCATGCGATGCTATTAAGAAGTCAAATAGTATTTCGAAAATTTCGTCTTTTTTTACAATCTGTTAAATTTATATTATTTCGGGTAATTGTGATATCGTTTTAAATTGTCACTATCTGCATTAAAAACTAGAACGTATGTTTGTTTCAAGGAATTTTTGTGAGCATGAATTTTTTCCTTCTTTTTTTCAGTGTTCATAGGCGATGAAAATAATGCAGAAGGTAGGTTAGAAGTATGCGCATCCTTTAAGAGAAAAACTATAATTGAAATTTTTTTTGACTCATAAGTATTCTATTATGTATTAAAGTAGAGATTACTGATGCAGATGATTATTGGTTATAAAATATACTGATTCATTATCGTTTGTTGATATGTTAAATCTATGCTTATATATCAAAGTTTTTTTTAGTAATTTCATTAACGAGCTAGTTTGTAATGGAGAAGCTACGAAGAATAGATGATGCCGGTGATAATCGTTGGGCGGAATTAGTATGCATTAACATTTTTGTATTTAATATTCAAGTTGCATTTCTAAGCTGTTCAGTTAATTTGCTAAATCAAAAGGTATCTCTACAAAAATCAAAATTTTTGGGCTTTGAAAGTTTCTGTGGATTTTCATTGATTTTCAGCAAGAACGATTCGTTTCGGAAGCGCGCGATAAGGAAGCTGATGTTTTATTTCTGGGCGATGATCATATAGCTCTGCTTGAACAATCAATAGTAAGTTCTTGGTTCCTTCAACTTAATATTTATGATTCAGTGAGAACTATTTAAATTCTGATTGTTAATGATCGTCTTGAAAACACTTTCATTCCAGATATATCGAGAAAATTTAGCCCCATTGCACTGCTTGTGTTTTGGGGCCTTCGGCGACAAAATCTCCAATTTATCGTGGAGGCTTGAAAATAATATTTTAGAAGGCTTGGATCCTAAGGTATGACGTCTTATTTTTTTTCACTAATTTTTTAATGTATATTTTACTAATTTTTTTGGTGTCTTTTATTATTTAAAATTTTATAGGTGATTGTTGTATCGATTGGCAATTCGGATTTTGATTTAACTGAGAAACAAATGTTAGAGGCCCTGAAAAGTGTCGCCGGAATCATTCGAAAGCAAAAGCCGTCAGCAAAATTATATTTTATGGTAATTTAATATGTCCGATATTAATTTGTTGTTCCGAAGGCGCTGCATATTAATACAATTGTACTTTATTACCGCAAACAGAATCGAAAAGATTGAAAACTGAACATTTGTCGCAAAATGAATTTAATAGTTTAAAAAGTGCTTCCTAAACTAAGTTTTCAATTTCCAGAAACTTCTTCCATCAGGAAGAAGACCAAACAAACGACGTGAACTAGTGAATCGAATCAATGAAAGTTTGGAAAATGTACTAAAAGGTGTGGCGGATGTGATCGATGTAGAACCTTCCATACAAGGCTTGTTAATTTCCGTTTATGTCTTTAATCATTTATTTTTTTGATGAAACGCTCGTCGAAGTTGTATAATATCTGTTTTTATACATTGTCAGTGCTGTTTTCTGTGCACATCCAGCAGCAATTATTTTTTTTCCTTCTAGAATTCTGTCGTTCGAAGTGTATTCTAGGATTTCAATATTAAGAATTTTTTTAAAAATCTTGATATAGTCATTTCTTGTTGGTATAATATATCTCCTTAAAATTTTGTCTTTCAGGTACGAATGGCCAGATTGAATCTCATTATATGTTTGATTATGTTCATCTGACTCAAGAAGGTTATCGGAAAATCTATGAGCCGGTTCTAGTTGCCGTAAGCGCTGCGCTTAATCCAGATCCATGATTTCACTTACGTAATGAAAAATTTTTTTCTTCGCTTTGTAGTCTCACATTTACTTCATTTATGTTACCAATTTTCAAGCTTCATTCTGTCACAAGTTCCATATCTAAATCTTGATGAATTTCCTTTTTGTGGTTATTCCGTATGCTTCATCAATTTCGACTTTTGTTTGAAAGATGATACAACGTGTACCTCTTAATCCTATTTCATGTTTCAGACACGTAGTAACATACACTTTAGGTTCTAGATTTTTTGCTTTCCTAGCGGCGCATTGAAAAAGTACACTTCATGTAAGTTCATTAAATTCGTACTATGTTTTTCTTTAATCTTTGAGGAATGTCACTTACGCACATGAAAGCCTTCACTAAATTTTGTTTTTATATTATTAAAAGTCATTTAAGAATTTTTATAATAATTGATGTGTATTTTGATTTTACTTTAATCCAAATTTTTTTCTTTCCGTTCCTTACCAATGACTGTTTTGTGAAACATTGCTGTGATCTCGCTTTCTAGTTCAGCTCTATTTATATTACTGCTATAAACCCATCCAAACATGTACCAAGCCATACATAATTTTTTTCGTTAGCTGTGGAATCTTTTAAAAAATACTTTCTGCGATCCTCATGTTTTTTTTTCCATCTGTTGGTGATAATAGCAAAAATTTTATTCTATTGACAACTAATTCTATCAATAGCTTTGTCATTTCGCTTTACATGTTCACAGCACACACTATTTTACATCATTAAGCGAACTTGCGTTTTACTGAGTGCTCTGCTGCATAAATGTTTTAAAAATCTTGTTCGTTGTTGTTATTTGGTGCAAACAGTTATCTCTGTAGGGAGAAGTAATATCTTTACTTTTTGAAACTACTTTATGCATAAAACAGATCGAGATTGTTATCTCCTTTTTTTCTCTTAAATCTCTTAAAAACAATTCGAGTTTTGTTTTTTAGCAGGAACATGCTGATTTTACTCCTCCTCTGTTAACATATTTAAATTTCAATGTTTGCTTCGGTAATTCTGGTGTCTACCAGAGGTGTACGGTCACTAAATCCTTATTACTTTCGACCACCTTGGCCGATATTCTCGAAGGTATCATGTTTTTAGAAATGTTTCTGTTGTGCAATTAATGATGTCATTCCGGTTAAAACAGTTTCTTTGTTTATTCAGAAATAATTGTAGTCATTTACTAATTTATTTAAAAGTAGATAACTGTTCAAGATATTATTTCTAAAAGTTTTGGATCGAATTACCGCTAAAATTCCAACTGGTTATCATCGTGAGAATTTATGATGACTTTCAATAGGCTCAAGGATGGCGAAAACGAGGTCCCTCAATACATGAGCGTTATCAGCTTCCTGGACAAGATCGTGAGTTTCCAGAATTATCGCCAAAGTTCAAGAAGGAAAATCCGAAGGAACTATATAGTGAGTTTCTTCCAGTTGGCGATTATCCATCAGAAAATAGTATATTGCCAAAATATTTGCTATAATTAACATCTATTGTTTCTAGATTATACTGGCGTTCAAGATGTCGGTTTTGTTGATCCGGTCACTGAAGAATTCGTTCATGTTGAAGAAATGTATCCAGAATTAGTTGTACCAGATTTACGAGGGTTTCGATTGTGTCCCTACGTATCATATCGAACTGATTTTGAGATTGAAAAGAGGTAGGATGTTTCGTACACGTTTCACATTATATTACTTATCTTGATGAGTGAAAGACTTTATACATTTTTAAATAGCATTCCTGTTAAATGAATACGAGACTCATTTCCTTCTATAATAATGTACTGATTATCTCGATAAATTGCAGGATTACTTCCTTTTCAGAATTGAAATGAGACTTTAATCGGTTTTCAGGAGAAAAAAGTTTGAAAAATTGGCAGCCAAATATGGTAGTGAAGAGGGTGCTGACTCCGTAGTATTTGAAGGCGAGAAATGGCCTCCGCCGAAAACGACACCGCGCTCTTTGTTTGACATACATTATGCGCCATCAATAAGGTTTAAATCTTCACCGCTTTTATTTCTCTCACATTAATTATATAAAACAAATGTATCATGTAAGTCTGTATTATCGTTTTTTCTTGTTATGTGGGATTTGTTGAATAATTAATACTTACAACCACATCGTTATTTCAGTTGATTGTCGTTTAAAAGTTAAAAATGCTATTTCTTTTTTAAAGAATTTTATTTGAAATACATAGTTTCAGACAAATGTATAATGATGGGGAATATTTTACGGATGCCGAAGAACGAGATCCACGTTGATAAGCCCAAGTAATTTCGGTGCCTTCGGTATTCTTTGTAACTGTACACTCCGTATTGAATTGTCTATCTGTTTTCATGATGATTTAACAGAACTATCATTTTTCTTTCGGTTTGTCATCTGCCTGTAGTCACTGTTCTTTTTCTATCGTTTGCAGTAATTACTCAAAAATCCTACTCCTAATTCTTTTTCGAACTTTTGGATGAGCGACGAGGTATATTATTCTGAACACTATGAATTGTCAAGATGATTTGTGCGGTTAAAAACTGCCAGCAGTGTATGACTACAATGTAGGATTGTTGGAGGCTCATGGGAATTTTTTTTTCTGCTTTTTCCCGCTTTTCGATAAGGACGAAAGGATGTTGTGGATAGTTCATCGGTAAATTAGAAGCCTAAAGGTGATTATTTTAAGATTCGAGTGTTGTAGTTAACCCATAACTTTTGGGGGATCTTACTGTTAATTCGGTAGGGAAGTTTTAAGCGCAAACTTCTTAAGTTCTGGATAGAAAAATTTTATACAGAATTAGTTTAATAGCGTTGCAGAGCTTTTCACCAAACATTTTATTAAATGGATATTGTTAATGATTCCAGGTGTATTTTAGAACCGTGCATGAATATTCGAAATGAAAAGAAGAAGAAAGCACTTTTTTTTTTTTTTGGATTTGATATACAGATCACATTGGTTGTTGTAATAGCAACTTGAAGGAAGAGAAAAAATTGGGTTTGAGAAGAAAGGTATGCGTCATCCAGACATATTTCGTGTGATAGAAGCTGATTACGCAAATTCAATGTTGAATAGCCAAATGTGGTAGCGGTGCTTCAACCGTTAAAACACCATCCGTACTTAGCGTACTACTGATCAGTTCCGGATTTGTTCCGCGGGGAAGCATGAACTCCTGAAGCCGAATGTATTGTTAATCCGGAATTGCCGAAAAATAAGCGAACCTAACTGGCAAAATAGACTGCATGTAAATGTTAGAGAAAATATCCGAAACCTGATTATATTCTCTGAATACGGCACGTTGTGGTGTTTTTTCTTCATGTTTAGCATGAACCAAAAGTCTGTTATCAACTGTTTTCACTGTTACTTCCTCTGGCTTGTACTGTGCAACATCGAATCTAAAACATAAGTTGAGATTTGATTTCACGGTCATTTCTACGATATTTAGGTTGCTCAAATATTTGTATCTCATAGAAAATCTAGATCATGTTAATAAGACGTGCCTTTAAACATCCCAAAGAAGCCTTCAAACCACATATGGCAAATAGTGCTACATTCTATGTTTCTAGCCAAGTATAGTGCTTAAATACTAGAATGGATTGCATCTTTTACCTAGACGGAACGACTGGCTTACAGATCAACTTTGACTATGGCGTGAAGCAAAAACTTGTCTGAAAATATATCCCAGGCTCTCAAAAAATTTCCTTAAACTGCAATATAAATTGACTACTGCACAAAGCTTTAGAGGTCACATAATTTAGGGACATTGTATTCTAGAACTTGCTTCATGTAATAAATTAATAAACAAACCTGAGTCTGAGCGTCTTTCCGTCACTTTCATCTTTGATAAGCGGTGATTTAAGATTTTCCAGATAAGGATCGTATGTCGGTCGAATGGACATCATATCCGGTCGTCCAAAACCTCCTTCACTACGGAATGTACTGCTTGGTGGAGGTGGACCACTACCCTGTAACTCTGACTGATTAGGAAAGTATGATATATATTAAACTATGAGAAAATGCACAGTAACTGCTATAGGGGGAAGAATTTTCTTCAAATCCATTGGAAAAATTCAGTACATTGAAGTGGATTGATTACCTGTGTTGATGACGACTCGTAACGTCTCGATTCTTCGCGATGATACGTAGTGGAACGATTATCAGTTTGTGGTCCTTGCTGTGGTGGCGTATATCCTACAAAGCAGTATTGCAAAGCATATCAATTCTGTACGTTTTATGCATTGCATAATTCATACTGAGAGAATATGAACTCTGACATTACTTCTCGGCAGCTTTCTCGTGGTTTATTTCCTTCCTTTATTATATTTTATTTTTCATCTTTACGTCTATTAATTCTTTTTTTGTGGCTGAAAATTCTTATGAGAAAGTACTAAAGCGGAAGGTGCAATCAATTTGGTCCAGTTATTAAATAATGGAGAGGAAAAGGAAATGTGGTCGGATATGCATATTGTCAACATATTAGGTTCAAGAGTGAACGTGAATGGAGTCTTTTTACAATAAGATTTCAGCATTATATGTTCATAAGCCTATATACTTATCAAATCAGAGTAGTAATTAATTAAATACATGAATTAAATGAACTACCAGATGAATTATTAATGATGCAATTAACCGGTAATACAACCTGTCATTTACCACCTTACTTCTTCCTCCATCCACCCATTCCTACCCATTCTTCCAATACCAAAACTCAACAAATTAATAGAAATATAATGTTTGCACCACTGATGCTCATTAAAAATTATTATCTTCCAGTTGATAATCCTACTGAAAGTAATATATGCATTAATAAAGTAGTAATTGAAGATAAGAGAAAAATGTAATAATTAAACCAAGACTTTGTAATATTAGGAACAGAAACTTTTTTTTGGTAGAAAGACCAAACTAAACAAAGAATGAAGAATGAATAAACAAACAAATGGAATTGATCTTTCAAGCAAGAAACGTTATAATTACATATAATATTATGAAGATGAAATAAGCAGTTGTTTTATTAGCACAAAACTAAATGATGTCCATTTTTGTATAGGGAAAGCATTTTTATGAAATGAATGATACATATTATTTATTGTTCTCAGTACCGATGATTTGTTCCACATGAATTATGAGACTCTTCGAAACAAACAACATACAATATTCTTTCTTATTTTCAGCCCATAATTTTTAACCACTGATATATTATCATATAAATTTGCAAGAATAAGAGTGATAATAAGAGAAAGCACATATGGAATTATATATTCCAAATGTTTCAAGCAAAAATAAGAAGAGCAGAGAGAGAAAGTAATTTGCAGTATAATGTCCTGATTAGCTAAGGTGAAGTCTTTCTAAATAAGTTTCATATAAATAGAAAATGAGCGAATAGGAAAAAAGAAAAATAAGATAATCACTGCTCGACATATAGATTATTCAAAAAATAAAGTAGTATGAAATGATAATAAATAAATTCATGCCTTTCTGACTTCTTTGGTTCGTTTTTTTGGATAAAATTTGAAATTGTTTTTCCGATTAGTTCGATGATTTGGATAAAATAAAAGTAAGGTTTGAAAACTCCAACATAGCCAAAACCTCTGCTTATTTTCAAAATTTTCTTCTCCAGTGTGTGAGTACGAAGTGGTTCGCTCCATTTTGCCGAATACTTTCTTCGTTCAGATATCAGAAAAAATGGATACCTTCAAATTCTCGCCTTAAACGTTTCATTTCTTCCTCCACATGCCTCATTTCAGCTTCGAAACGTTCCCGCATATTTCCAAACTCAGTATCCAGTACTGAATAATTACTCGGCGTAACATCTATTTTTCTTTCTCGCTGCATTTTTTTCCTTCAATTCTTCCTGCAAATTTCAGAAAGGACAATTTATCACAAAAGTGAAGTTAACATGTAATTTTTTTATTGGTGAACATAAGCAACTAGGTGACGAAGGTAAGCCAACAAACGAAACAAGCCCAAAGAGAGCAAAATTTCTGAAAATTCAAAAACTGAAGCAATATACTATTTTTTTTGTTCCAGTGATAAAAATATTTCTGAAAAAAAGGTATAGCGGATTCGCTTTAAAAGTACAGCTCATTTCTTCAAACAATAAAAAAATTATTTGAAACTGTCTTTAATGAAATATATTTTTTTCTATTTAAACATTCCATTTCTTGTTTTTCTCTTCACCGAAAAAAATTTTTTTCAATTTTAAATAACAATAGATAGTGTAAAATAATGAACAGAGGTAATAAACAAATGTGAAAATAGAATAAACGTTATAAGCATTTCAAAATCAGAACATTTTCACTCCCTAAATTCTGCTAATTATTTTCCAATAATATTGCAGAAGCCTACAAAGCTTATGAAATGATAGCGTATAGATTTTCGTTATAAATTAGCGCCTTTAAATAAATGAATGAAGGATTGGTTTGCCAGATGGTTGAGATTTTGTTGAAGTCAAAATCGACATTAACATTCAACATTTATCAATGAAGCAATGGCAGAAGAAAGAGAGGCATTCAGCATGAAGTAAACACTGAATGAAAAACAAAAACCTAAATTGTAAATACATTGTGATATTATTTGCACTTCCAAAATACAAATCACTACATTTTGTGATGAGAAAAGGAAAAATGCCCATTAAAATATAGGCAGCCAATTTTGTGGGTTAATTCATTATAAATCTTCGGAGTGTGAAGTTTTTGAAAAAAAAAATTAGTAGTGCTGTTCTCAAAAAATTTCGATTCTTAGTTGTCAACGAAAAGTATCATTTGTAAGTTTGTTAGAAAAATTCCTCATTTTCCTGCATTAAATGAAAATTTAAATTTGATCTAAATCTCACTGAAATTGCTTAAAGTTAGATTAATTGTTGTTGAGTTTAGAAAAAATTCCTCGGCTACGATAATAATTGAGGACGAAGGTGAAGCCTTGATTGCTCCGGGGATCTTTGCTGGAGATCATTTACCATTGGATGAACCATGCACTTTCATCACTTACATTCCTAACTTTTTGATCTTAATTTAAATCCAAAATCATTCACACTAACTTCATAGTTACCAATTCAAAACTAAACTGACTGAAACAAAACGATGATATTACCTGCATATCATCTACATTTCTTATCATTCACAGAATTCTTATTCGTAAAAATTATAACGGATTTCTCGATTCATGAAAAAAGAAATGGAAAAACTGAAAAGCATTTCCAAAATTTGAAGCAAAAAAGTTGACTGATGGAGAAAAACAGCACTGATAAGCCAGCGGAATGTCTAAACAGCAATTTAATGA